ATAAAGGCCATGTGCAACAAATAATATAATATCACATGCTATAGGGAGTTATGTGAAACATCCCTTAGGACTGTGGATGAAAAAGCAGTTTTCTTGAGCCAGAAGGAGGGAGGGTAGCAGAGAAAATAAGATGACATATCATCATCATCATCAGATTAGCCTCTAATGATAATAAAGGGAAATGCATAATGAACAAAGAGTAACATTGCCAACAGCGCAGAAAGCATGAAAGTGCTTGGTATTTAAAAAAATCAGCAATCAGCCTAATGTGGCAAAAGTAAAGGAATATTAAACCTGATAAGGAAGCTTTATAGACCAGGCAGGTTACAATGAAGCCCTGAACTAGGGTAGTCGTGGCTGCCATGTGGAAAAGGGATGTTGGGAGTGGAGATGCTGCAGAAATAGTGCAGAGGTAGGATCAGTAAAACTCGGTGTCCGATTTGTTAGGGAGTGCAGGCTGAGTTGTGGGGGAATGACAACTTCTGTTTTAGGCAGAGCAAAGAGTCTGATTCTGTGAAACACCCGTACAGTAAAGCTCAAAAGGCGAATTAGATATGTAGATCCAAAAACCAGGAGTGCAGTCAAGGCTGCAGATGAAAATCTGTGGTAGAAATTAAAATCATGAGGAGGGTAAGATAATGGTAAAGATTTGGGCAGTTTTAGAAGTAATAGGGAAGGAAGTTTAGCGGCATCATACCTGAAGGATTGTGCCTTTGAAAAGCAGAAAAACTAAGTTGCCTGCTTTGGTGAAGGGTGTTTTGAAATATGTAAAAATTTGCCCTGACTGGTATAGCTCAGTGGATTGAGCACGGGCCTGCAAACCAAACAACCTCGGTTTACTTCCGAATCAGGGCACATGCCTGGGTTGTAGGCCAGTTCCCAGCAGGGGACACATGACAGGCAACCAATACATTGATACTTCTCTCCCTTTTTCTTTCCCTTCCCCTCTAAAGATAAATAAATAAAATCTTTAAAAATATGTAAAATTTTGGAAGAATATCTGTGTGCCAGTGGTGTTATTTTTCATGTCAGTTTTGTAGTCTTTGGTCATTAAATGCTCTAATTCTACCAGGTCTTCATTCGTCAGTGGCATTGCTTCTTCCCCAGCATCACTGTCAGTGTCATGATATCCCGCCTGTTTTGCAAAATTTGCGATAATTATTTTCCATTGCCTTTGCATCGTATTGACAGGTGTATCCTGCCATCAGTGAGAGACTAACAGAATAAAAATGGTGATATGGTAGGGGTAGTTCTAGTGATTAAGGATACACTTATGGACTTCCGGCCAAGATGGAGATATAAGTAGATATACTTTGCCTCCTCGCACAACCAAAATAAGGACAACAACAAATTTAAAAACAAAAATAACCAAAACTGCCAGAAATTTGAACTGTATGGAAGTCTGGTAACCAAAGAGTTAAAGAAGAAATGTTCATCCAGACTGGTAGGAGAGGAGAGACAGGCAGTCCCAGTGGAGAGGACAAATGGCAAGGTGGTGGCTGGAGGACCAGGGTGGGCAAGGCAGCTGGCAGAGTGGGTAGTCCCACATCTGTATGGGGATAAACCGGAAGGAACAACTGGAGAGTAAGACAGAACCCACAACCACAACCCAGGGTTCCATTGTGGGGAAATGAAGCCTTGAAACCTCTGGCTGAAAAATCTGTGGGGGTTGCAGCAGCAGTGGGAGAAACTCCCGGCCTCACAGGAGAATTCACTGAGTAGACCCACAGGGTCCTAGAATGTACACAAAACCACCTACTTGGGAATCAGCACCAGAACAGCCCAATTTGCTTATGGGTAGCGGAGGAAGTGACTGACAGCCAGCTGCAAGTAGCATTGTTCCCTCTCAGACCCTTCCCCACATATGATACCACAACGCAATGACCTGGGTTACCCTGCCCTGGCAAATACCTAAGGCTCTGTCCTTTACTACATAATAGGCAGGCCAAGGCAAAAAAAAAAGGCCCAAATGAAAGAACAAATCAAAGCTCCAGAAAAAAATACAATTAAGCGATGAAGAGATAGCCAACCTATCAAATGCAGAGTTCAAAACACTGGTAACCAGGATGCTCATAGAAATGGCAGACTGTGGTCACAAAATACAGGAAAAAAATGAAGGCTATGAAAAGTGAAATAAGGGAAAATGTACAGGGAAACAACAGTGATGGGAAGGAAACCAGAATTCAAATCAGTGGTTTGGAGCAGAAGGAAGAAATAAATATTCAACCAGAAGAGAATGCAGAAACAAGAATTCAAAAACAAAAATGAGGAGAGGCTTAGGAACCTCCAGGACAACTTTAAATATTCCAACATCCGAATCATAGGGGTGCCAGAAGAAGAAGAGGAAGAGCAAGAAATTGAAAACTTATTTGAACATATAATGAAGGAGAACTTCCCCATTCTGATAAAGGAAATAGACTTCTAGGATGTCCAGGAAGCTCAGAGAGTTCCAAAAAAGTTGTACCCAAGGAAGCACTCGTCAAGGCACATCATAATTACATTACCCAAGATTAAAGGTAAGGAGAGAATCTTCAAAGCCACAAGAGAAAAAGAGACAGTTGCTTACAAAGGAGTTCCCATAAGACTGTTAACTGATTACTCAAAAGAAACATTACAGGCAATAAGGGGCTGGAAAGAAGTATTCAAAGTCATGAAAGGCAAGGACCTACATCCAAGATTACTCTATCCAGCAAAGCTATCATTTAGAATGGAAGGGCAGATAAAGTGCCTCCTAGATAAGGTCAAGTTAAAGGAGTTCGTCATCATCAAGCCCTTATTATATGAAATGTTAAAGGGACTCATTTAAGAAAAAAAGATAAAAAATACAATCACTAGATGACAACAAACTCACAACTATCAGCAACCAAACCTAAAAAAAACGAAAACAAACTAAGCAAGTAACTAGAATAGGAACAGATTCACAGAAATAGAGATCACATGGAGGGTTTTCAGCAGGGAGGGAGTGGGGGGAATGGGGGAAAAGGTACAGGGAATAAGAAGTATAAATGGTAGGTACAAAATAGACACAGGGAGGTTAAGAACAGTATGGGAAATGGAGAAGCCGAAGAACTTACATGTATGATCCATGGACATGAACTAAGGTGGGGAATGAGGGTGGGAGGGAAGGGTACAGGGCAGAGGGGGAGAAAAAATCGGACAACTGTTATAGCATAATCAATAAAATATATATAAAAGAAGATACTTTTTGTGCATATAAAATCCAACTTGTGTAGCTTATATTTAGTGGAGGGAGGTAGACAATAAATATGTGTGTCAGGTGGTGATAAGTATAGTGGAGATAGTTGAAGCAAGGTAAGGGGAAAGTAGAAAAACGGAGCAGGGACCTGAAAGAAGAGAGAATAGTCATGCGGGTATCCAGGTTCCAAGAAGAGGGAACGGTAAGTCCAGAGACCTGAGGCAGGATTGTCCTTCAGTAGATTCTGGGATGGCAAATGAGGCAGTGAGGCTGGACTACAGTGAGATAGGCACAGGGCTACGTGAGGACAGGGGTTGGGATAAAGGGGAGCAAGAGGGACAGATCAAGGCTAAATTCTCAACCAGTCAGATTCAAATGTCCTAATTTTGTAACAGCAATTTTGTAATATCAGCTTTACTGAAATGTAATTTATAAACAACATGTAACTTCCTTTAAAAGTTCAAAGCATAACTTGAATGTCCTAGTTAAGTTAAATGAAAAATACTTATAACATGTTTAATGTGGAAATAAAACCTCTACAAAAACTTCTTTTTAGTATGTAAAAGCTAAGTTAACAGGACAGTACAGAAAGACAAAATGCTCTATAAAACTACCGTAGGGAACCATCCCTACTTTCTGAACTGGTAGTGAGCCTCGTAAGCCTTTTTTAGGCCTTTGTTCTGAGTGAGGAAGGTGCCAGAGGGTTTAAGAGCAAAGGAGTAATATAATCTGACAAATATTTTAAAATATTCCCTGGCTGCTATGTGGAGTGAGGCTGCTGGGCATGGACAGAAGCAGAGAGACTTGTTAAGAGATTATTACAATAATCCAGGTGTGTGGTAAATTGGACAGAGGTGAGTGAAAGAGAGTCAGATAACTCCAGGAATTTTTTTATGAGCAAATGTAAGGATGGCATTGCAGTTAACTTAGAGAAGGCTGGAAGGTGTCATTGGGGAATAAAGGCTAGAGGTGTCTGTTAGACATAGTGGGAGAAAAGATAATGAATTGAAGGTTAGATACACAAATCTCTAGAGTTTAGGGGAGAGGTTCAGGCTAGAGATACCAGTTTGGGAATTGCTGTATTTTTCGGACCTAGGTTTCAGAGGGGGAAATTTTTTTGAAGCAAAAAATGTGGTAAAATATTTAATAACATAAATAACATAATGTTTCACCAATGTAAATGTAAACAGAACTCAACAGCAGCATTGACAACCATTATTCCTCCCAAATTTGGGGCAGGCACGTCTTTCAGTTTGAAAATACATAAGTGGTAGGGTTACACAAGAAGTAGACAGCCAGTGATTATTTAGTGGAGATGAGGTTGGTAAGAAGGTTGAAACATTGACATAGATGATAAGACTTGAGATTTAGATTTCGGTCCTGCCACTTTCTTTTGTTTCCTGTGCAATCCCTGACCAGTGCCATCTGGGTATATATTTACTAAAGTTTGGTGAATAAAGAAAGTGCTTCTGAATTTAGAACTAGAAGAGCAGGTCTTTTTCTCAGTTAATAGAAGAGGGGAGTTGGACTCTCAAATTTAAGGCTTTGAGTAATGTTAACTTATTTAGAAATTTTTTATTTGCTCAGATGGGGTAAAGTCAATATTTTGGAAGAAAAAAAATTATTATACATTCTAACCTTTATACTTATATACATTACTTTTATTAGTCTTTGCTTATTAAATTATTACTTATGTGGCACTAAAGTAGTAATAGTAAAATTGAGGTTTTAAAATGATTTAGTGTAGTTTTTAAATAAAACAACTACTTATCAGATATCTAATGTTCATTTGGTTTTCTTTTAGGAAGATTTGGAGACCGGAGTTCACCTTGACCCTGCCGTCAAAGAAGTTCAGTATAATCCCACCTATGAGACCATGTTTGCTCCTGAGGTGAGAAACCATGCCATACTTAAGATTCTGCCTTTTGCTAAACTATTTAAATTATACATAGGTAGCTAAATGGTACATTTTTCACAAAAGTATACTATTTAAGCTTTTAGAAAATATATCCTGTTATATGGCAACTACCTCTCAATTTAAAAAGAAAAAGAAAGAAAATATGTCCTTCTACAAAAGTTTAAATATTGTATATGCTTTTGTGAGAATACTTTTAAAAATCCACTAATGTTTAGCTACCAACATAGAACCATCTGGTAGCATGGAACTATTTCTTTTGAAAAAAGGAAATCTCAGAATATCCGATTCTTAAATGTGAACTTAGTTAACATCTTCCTCTCAGTATTGATAAGGGCACATTGCAAATTAACCATTAGGGAAGAAGAATTTGGTTTATTAACGTTGTTACTGCACAGTACATTATGAAGCATCTGGTTATGCATGCTGCTGTGCTAAACACTAAAAAGAGGCGCCATACACGTTGTGGTCAGGGCTCGACAGCAGTCGCAGGGTGTATTGCCTGCTCTGCATAAGGCGTCTTATGGAGTCTTTGTTCCACATGATGATAGTGATATATGGTGATGAACGCATTAAAGTAGGTGAGGAAGGGGAACAGATAGTGACAATTGTGCATTTAGGAACATTTGTAGAAAAGATTGCTAGCTATTTTACCTTTAAAAGACAAAGAATGCCTGGTTGACAAAATAGAAATGCCATGAAATGGCCAGAAAACAAACAAATTTGTTTTAGAGTCTTAGTGGCAGGACTCTTAAGGAACACTTTAAAAAGCCAAATCTTATTGCGTCTTGGTAGAAAAAGGTACTTAGTAATATTTTTCATTTTTTAGTATATAATCATTGGTTTTTTGGTTTTTGTGTTTTTTGATAAAGCAGAGTCAAATTTGCCTGCTTAGTCACTTAAAACATAGCGGTTGAAATATGCGGCACGGCCTGTGAAGTCAGTGGTGTGTTTAGAGAGTACTCTGCCTCTTCTCTGGGCACACAGCAAGCAAAAACCTCCTTCTCGTGCTCTGAGACTGCAGCACATTTTAAATTTTATTCCATTATTTCTTAAATCCTTCACCCTGTTGAACTACAGGCTGTCCCATATTCCGTAGCATCATTTTAGCCATCACGTTGAAGAGAGGTTGTATATATTATTACATGCTTCATGATTTTTTTAATGAAAAGTACTTCAATAAAATAGGATCACTGAATTTAGAAAATGAGAAAATTTCAAGTAATGTGGGATATGACATTCCTATGTCAGTATATGTATTTTTTATGAAACCTGTTTTTCTTAAAATTTTAGATCCTGTGTATAACTAATAAATGGCTATTTGATTACAGTTTTCAAAATTTTCAAGAAAATTTGAAAGATCAAGATTTTTGCTGGTGATATAGACAAGGCATTAGGCCTCTTCTCTTTGTGGGATTGTCAGTCCTTCTATATTCTCATGGTAGGCAGCCTCCCACTGAGTATTGGGTGGGCCCGAAAGTTTTTGTTTTTTTTTCTGTAAGGTGGCTCTAGTAGTGCTTAGTTGTCTTTAACTTCATTTGAAACAATTTTGTTAGATTTTATTGTGACAGCTGTCATTATGAGCATGTGTTTAGAAACAACTAATAAATTGGTGAATTTTTGTGTAGCCATTTTAATATTGAAAATGGGAGAAAATACACATTTTCAGTATATAATGCTTTATTATTTCAAGAAAAGTAAAAACACAACAGAAACAAAAAAAGATTTGTGCTGTGTATTATGGAGGAGGTGCTGTGACTGATCAAAAGTGTCAAAAGTGGTTTGCAAAGTGTCATGCTGTAGATTTCTTGCTGGGTGATGGTTGGGTATCAGAAATCAAGATTTTTTCCCACGGTTGAGTAGACCAGTTGAAGTTGATAGCAATCAAATCGAGACATTAATGGAGAACAATCGATGTTATACCACATGGGAGAGAGGTGACATACTGAAAATATCCAAATCAAACAAGTTATTGGTGAAAATGAAAAAGTATGTCCTTTATTTTATGGCGAAAACCCCACAAACTCTCTGGCCAACCTAATGTATAAATTAGTTTATGTTAGAAATACTTCACTTCTTCTCCACGATTTAAGAAAAGAATGATGAGATTGAAAAGTGAAGAAAAATTAGTTTTTCCTGGTTGGCAAATGAATTGTCTGTGATATAACATATTATTAACTTTGGATTTTATGACTAGGATGTATGTAACTTGGCCAAGTCTGGAAAGGTATTACCAGGAACTTTGCTAGGTGAAATTCAAGTTCCCCTATTTGAGAATGCGTTGTTAGAAACAAAGTATGACCCCTCTCTTCAAGCTAGTGTTTACTAGAGATGATAAGCTAAGTGTATTTTTTAAAAGATAGAGACCAGACTATTTCTTCTAGTGTCTCTAAAGTACTGTTCATGTGTAAAGAGAGATTGCATGTGGTTGTAAAGATTAGGAAATGTTCCATGAGAAAGATAATATTTAAAGTAAGCAGTACAATCTAGGTTAAGAACATAAGATTTGGAGTTAAACAGGCTGCCGTTTTGGTCTTGTGTGACTTTGGATTATCTTTGTTTTCTTGTTAGGTAAAATGAAGATAATTTCTACTTTACTGATTTATAAGGATAAATGAGATAATATATGATATGCTTAGGAAACTCTCTGACACAGTAGGCATTAATAAATGGTAGCACTTACTGTTCTTTATTTTACCGTTACTGGCATTGATAGCTAGGAAAGCTTTTACGAGGAAAGAGTTCAGGCAGAAGAGAACAGCATGAGCTAAATCATAGAAGCTCTAAAGAACAGGAATGCTTAAATCATTCTCAGTAGGGGAGAATGGGAGGTAAGATTAGAATGGTAGTTTTGATAACATTGCACAGGGCTCTGGGGACCAAGGTGAAGAGCTGGTCTTGATTTAATAAATTTGGTCTTGATTTCTAAGGTTCTTTAAGGGAAGAGTAACATAAATAAAACTGAATATAGGAAGGCGAATTTGGTAAAGGTTCTTTTTGCATCATGGAAAAGAACAAGGATAGAAACTAATAAAATAAAACTACCTTTTATTACTGTATGCCAAGTACCATACTGAGAGGCTTGTAAATTTATATACCTATCTTCTTTAAACTTCATTACAACCCTATGAAGTAAATACTGTTATCCCTATTTTATAGCAAGGAAACCAAGTCTCATATTATACTGCCAACAAGTGACAGATTTGCACATTTGAGTCTAGATCACTGTTAGCAGTTGTTCTATAACTGGAAGACCAGTTTGTAGGCCATGGTGGGGTTTGCAGGGTACATGCCTATGTCTTTTTACTAGTATAAATTTCCTTAATCCTGTGATGTTGTTATATACTGCTAAGATATTGACCCTCAAATTCTCTACCTACTGAAGACTTTTGAGAATCACTGCCTTATACTGTACAGATCTGTAGATTTATCAACCATTGCCTTAAAAAAATAAAAAATGCTTTTCTCTCAACTCTATAAATATGTCACTACTCAGGTGAAAGATGCAAAGAAAATTACCTCTCCCAGGAACACCACACATTTTGGGGTGTGCAGTCATTTGAATTAATACTGAAATGTGTGTATTTTTTATATGGGAGATTACAGTTATAATTGACTACTACATATTTTAACATTGTTTTAGCTAAGAACTGTTTAATACTTATAGCTAATTAACTTGAGTGTGTATTTTTAAAAATCACTTCAATTATAAACTTGCATTTAACTACCAAAGGTTGAAAAGAAGTGTTTGGAAATCAGTTATGTGTTTTTATATGCTTTTTTATTTGTTTTTTAGTGATTAAAAGAGTTGCATATTCAGAGACCAGCAACATCTAGAAGACTTTTTTTTTCTTTTTGAATAACTAGGAAGAGCAGAATCTTTTAAGTAACATTCTCTGCCTTCGTCTGTTGAAATTTAATGTCTATGAGGTCAGCTTCAATAGCTGCCAGTAACCAGGCAGTTAAGGTGAGCCAGGAGTAGTTGGGACATCCCCAGACAGCTTCCTATATCATTAGAATTTTTTTTGATGTCTCAGCATAAATATATATAAAACTTAAGGATGTTAGATGACTTCGGGTCAAGATGGCAACGAAGGCTGACCACTTCACAGAATCACATCAGAATTACAACTAAAATATAGAACAGCTGTCACTCAGAATTGTCAGAAATCGAGTTGAATGGCAGTCTGACAACTACAGAATTCAGAAACTCCTCCATCCACACTGGTAAGAAGGATGCGGATGCAGAACCGGGTGGTCCCACACCCACATGTGGAGGATAAAAACTCAGGAAGGATATCTCAAGAGCGAGATATTCCAGCCCCACACCAGGCCCAAGCCCAGGGTTCCAATGCCAGGAAGAAAAGTCCCCACAACTTCTGGCTGCAAAAACCAGCAGGAATTGAGTCAGTGGAAGAAACTTCTGGACCCCTAAGCAGTTCCTCATAAAAAACCCACACACAGACTCATCTACTCAGACTCACTTCCTCTTGAGCTCCAGTCCCCTGGGCGGGGCGCAGCTTGAAAGGCTCCAGTGATATATAGGGAGAAACTGGAGTGTCTGGCATCAAGGTGAGCAGAGGCCATTGTACTTTTTCTAAACCCTCCCCACATAGAGCTGGTAAACTGGTGCCATATCTGAGACTGGCCAACACAGTTGGACCTGTCCTGGAGATCCCCAGAGACTCAACCCCACCCAGTTTAAGGGCCCACCCACGAAGCTTTTCCATATGCATGGTTGAGCTTGGTTCATGTTTCACAACTTTCTAAATCCTCTCAAGCAATAGCTTGCCTCAGTTAGCCCCAGGACCAGCACTACCAGCAGCCAACCTAGATTCACAGCTTGTCTTCTCCTGAGAATCTCCAAGCCCAGGACAAATAGCAGCCCTCTCAGATTGCTTTATAGCTTAGGCAGCATGGCCCATGGCAAAATACAGGTGGGGGCTGACCTTGGCCTGTACCATCAGGGAAACCCCAGGACTAACGCACCCAGTACACAGCTACAGACCATTTTGGAGCACCACCACCCTGCCCCTGCACAGAGGGCAGAGGTTGGCCTTCGGTGGTCATAGCCAGTTCCTGTAGCTGACTGGTCTAGGTAAATCCCCTCTGTTTATCTGCCAATAGCAACCATGGCTTGACTACAACAGGAGGGTGTGCACAGCCCACATGAAGGGCATACCTCAAGTACCCGGCTTGGGTGATAGGGGAGCCTGTGCCACTGAACACTATAGGACACCTACTACATTAGGCCACACTACCAAGATACAGAGTCAAAGCAGCTCTACCTAATCCACAGGAACAAATACAGGGAGGCTGTCCAAATGAGGAGACAAAGAAATATGGCCCAAATGAAAGAACAGATCAAAACTCCAGAAAAAGAGCTAAACAAAATGGAGATCAGCAGTCTATCAGATGCAGAGTTCAAAACACTGGTTATAAAGATGCTCAAGAAAATTAGTGAGGACCTTAGCAGCATAAAAAGATCCAGTCAGAAACAAAGGTACTTGAAACAAAGAACAATTTATAGGGGACAACAGTAGAATGGATAAAATCAAAAATCAAATCAAAGATGTGGAATATAAGGAAGCAAAAACACCCAGTCAGAACAAGAAGTAGAAAAAAGAACCTGAAAATATGAGGATAGTATAAGCAGCCTCTGGGACAACTTGAAGAAGTCCAACATTCACATCATAGGGTTGCCAGAGGGAGAGAGAAAGAGCAAGAAATTGGAAACCTGTTTGAAAAAATAAAGAAAATGTCCCATAATTAGTGAAGGAAATAGACATGTAAGTGCAGGAAGGGTCCCAAACCAGGTGGATGCAAAGACGCCCACTCCAAGATGCATGATAATTGAAATACCAAAGGTTAAAGACAGAATCTTAAAAGCTGCAAAAGAAAAGAAGTTAATTATTTACATTGGAATTCCCATAAGACTATCAGCTGATTTCTCAAAAGAAATTTTGCAGGCCAGAAGAGTTTGGGGAGAAATATTCAGAGTCATGAAAAGAAGGGATCTATAACCAAGATTGCTCTACTTAGCAAGGCTATCAATTTAGAATCTAAGGGGAGATAGAGTTTCCCAGACAAGAAAAAACTGAAGGAGTTCACCATCACCAAACCATTATTGTATGAAATGTTAAAGGGACTTATTTAAGAAAAAGAAGATCAAAACATGAACAATAAAATGGCAAAAATTATATATCTATCAATAGTTGGAAACAGAACAAACTGACAGTGACCAGAGGTGTGGGGGAGGGGGATAGCAGGGAAAGGGGCAAGCAAAAGATCACAAATAGAGGACTCATAGGCACGGACAAGTGGGGGCGACTGACTGGGAGTGGGGGTAATGGTGTTGGGGCGAGCAAGGGGGAAAAAGACAGGATAACTGTAACTGAACAACAATACATTTTAAAAAAACACAATTGAATCTGAAAAACAAACTGAACAATTAAGAACAGATATAGAATCATGGATACGGAGAACCTTTTGGTGGATGGCGGATGAGAGGGGAGAATGGGTGAAGAGGTGAGGGGATTAAAATGTACAGATAGGTAGGTACAGAATAGCCATGGGGATGGAAAATACAGCATAGCAAATGGAGTAGCCAAAGAACTTACACACATGATTCGTGGACATGAACAAAGGTGTGGGGATTGTTGGGCGGAGGGAGGCAAAGGGGCAGAATCAGGACAAAACTGTAATAGCATAGTCAATAAAATATACTTTAAAAAACAAAAGGGTGTTTAAGTTTTTAGACTGAGTTAGGAATAATACCACATTAGATATACTTAACTGTAATATATGGATCTTTATTTGTATAGAAATCAAAGTTCTTTAACACTGAGAATTTTTCTTTACAAATTGGAGCCAGTTTGATATGTATGGCCTATAGAATAATTGTTCTCCATTTGTAAAATCTTAATGAAACAAGACTATGGAAATTGTATTTTCTACTTTCAAATGGAAATTATAATTATGATTGGCAGTTTATTATATGTGATAGAAGTAAAAATAAGAGTAGTGGGGATATTACTGTTTTAGAAATAATCACATGTAGCTATGCAGATGGTAGCTAACTATAGCAGGTGGAGCATCTAGGAAACTTTCAAATCATTTTATTGTCTTGAATTTTACGGATGTTTCTTGTTTTGTAATAAAGTTCACGACTGAATGAAGTTAACTGAAAATCCCAGCATTCAGCAATCTAGATTTCTACTCTTTCTCCCCTTTGTTTCCCCCAGCAGCGCAGGAAAAGCTAACCTGGACTACAACATCTTGTATTCTCCTTTATTTTAATTTAGATAAACAGTAATAAAAGCTTTATATATGAATGAGATACTTTAAGATTGAATCATTTTAAAATGGAAGCTATTGATAAAGAATATTATTATTAATTTTCTTAAGCAGAAAAAATAGACAAATCCAACACTCTTTAAATGTAGATTTTTGTGCATGATATAATATTGATATTTAGAGGAGGCAACATTCTGGTTAAAAGAAGATGAATAACTTTATATTGACGGCTCTTGGTATATATCGTAGGAAATGTGGTTTCTAATGCCAGTGCCCTAAGGTGCTCTAATGTCAGTGTGTGTCATCTTGACAGTAGACCTTCCAGAGTTCAAATAAAAATATCATATCTGATTGCATTATTTCCAAAGTGGGAGGTTCATTTTATTCTTTATTTAAAAACAAAAAAGGAAAAGAGTGGAATTTTCCCAATAACTTCTTTTTAAGCTAGAGGCTATGGTTGTATGTTTAAGGAATATTGTGTAATAGAATGCTAGATTAGGATTTCTTCTAGCCCTGGTTCTTCTAATTAATAAAACAATTGGCTCTAAGGCAGGTGAAATGCATCATATTTGACCTTTATCTTCATTTCTAATATGAGAATGCAGATACTTCTCTAACTTTACAGGATTTTTGTACAAATTAAATAACATTTGGAAGGCCATTCTGGAAACTGAAAGAAAGCATTATAAACAAATGGGTAATAATGGTGCTATTCTGTGTAGACTTTCATAGTTTGACTTTTCAGAGTGGAGAAATTTTATTTACAGTTGTAATGTCTCTTCCTTCAGACTTTTTCTTTTGTTGTTAAAGATTTTACTTACTTATTTTTAGAGTAAGGAGAAGGGAGGGGAAAAGAGAGGGAGAGAAATGTGGATATGTAAGAGATACATGGATTGGTTGCCTCTCACATGCCCTCAACTGGGCACCCAGCCCACAACCCAGGTATGTGCCCTGACTAGGATTCAAACCAGTGGCCTTTTGGTTTGCAAGCTGGCACTCAGTCCACTGAGCCATACCAACCAGGGCTTCCTGGAGACTTTTTCAAGCACTTTACTTTTATTGTCTATTTTACTGTCTTCTGCCCTCAATGGTATTCTGATTAATCTTTCTTTTATTAGTGCTTTCTGTATTCCAGGCACCGTGGTAAGTTTTGAGGATTCTGAGTCTCTGCCTTTGAAGAATTCATAATCTAGTCGAGGAGAAATATGTGGTTTTTTAATTACATCATGGTGCCATTATTCCTATAAAAGTTACCCCAACCTGGCCACATCATAGTTTAAACAAAACTATAGTAAGTCTCAGTTATCTAGAGAAACACTGTCAAATAGAACTTCCTGTTGTAATGGAAATATAGTAGCCAATAACCACACATGGCCTTTGAGCTGTTGAAATGTGCCTAGTGTGAGTGAGGAACTGAATGTTTTAATTAATTTAAATTTAAAAGCCACATGTAGACTTGGATGAGCTAGATTCCTCTCCTTCTGCCCTCAGGTCGACAGACTGTCCTCATCAGCCATCTCCCTGTATGCAGCCCTGAGCTAAGTGGGGTGAGCATGCTCCCAATTAGGTTATTCAGCCCCTGATGATTTCAAGTTGAAAATACGTTATACACTATATATTATCCTAGTAATTCTATCTTTATGTACTCAGAGTTTAAGTTTTTTTCTTTTCTTCTTCTTTTTTTAAAATAACATTACAGTTTGGACCAGAAAATCCCTTTAGGACACAGCAAATGGCTGCCCCTAGAAATATGCTTTCTGGATATGCCGAACCAGCTCATATCAATGATTTTATGTTTGAACAGCAAAGAAGAACTTTTGCCACATATGGTAAGGTGATTGATTAGACTTATAGTTTCAAGTTTGACTTTATTAGAAGTGGGGGGGTGTGTAAGAAAACACAATACCACTCAAAAAGGGTATTGTGTTTTTCTAATACACATCTATAAATAATTATACAAATGGGAAGGTAAACTAATATTTTTCATTGTCATTCTAAATCTACCATGATTTCTGAGTACTAGAAACATTCTCTGGTCTTAAAAACAAAATATTCTCTGTCATTGTACTTGATATTGAATGTCCATTATATGCAGATTGCTATTGAAGTTAGTAAATGACAGGATAGATTAAGAGGTTACATGTTTTATTGTATAGACTAGTTGACCTTACTCTGTTTCTCAAATCTTATCACTGAAAAATTTTCTGTTGATCACTGAAGGGCGTCAGGAAATAGAATGGCCAGAAATATATTGTGTAAAATAATCACCAACTATCAATGGCAAAATATAAAAAAGGTTCATGTGCATCCACAGGGCTAGCTATCCTCTCTAAGAGAAGCTGGTCTTCATGATGTCCTTGCTGCGAGTTCAGCAAATCAGGGTCCTGGTCACGTTTACCAGGTTTGTCCCTATTTGGTGCTGCCTTTCCTTTCGCTTCCTGTAATCCACACCTGCAGTTTGACAGACACACTGATCAGCTTCTGCTTTAAAGAGTTTTTTAATAGGGGTGGGCTTACAAAGTGAATGAGTTACAGCTGTTGTAGTTGTGATCCTTTTTATGAATTAAGTACTTGGGCTGATATTTTTCTCAAAAGAGTAATTGAAAAAGAAAACTGAATTTTTTTAGAATAGGTTTAATAATCACAGTTTAGATGTCAGCAATATTGTCTTTTTAAAATTTTTTCCTTGCAGTTAGAATTCTAGTAACTCCTTTTGTTTCTTGCTGTTGGATTTTTTTAAAGTTCTAAACAAATCTTTCTGTCCTATGTACCATTAATTTCCATTGTTATAAGATAGGACCAAAAAAAGTTAAACAACATTATGTTTTCAGTGGTGCTTTTTGATAACAGTTACTTTCATTAACAAGTAATATAAACACATTGTAGACATTTAGGAAAAAGAAAAGAAAATGTACTCATAATCCCACTGTACCAAAAGATCTACTCTCAGCATTGTGGTCTTTGTCCCTCCAGGTCTTTTTTCATGTTCATATTTGTACTACAGAGCTGTAACATTTCTAAACTGAATATTTTGCATTTCACTTTTTTGTTCAATATTTTATCATCAGCATTTTCAGCATTAGAGTCTCAAAGCTTATTGGTTTTAAGAGCTATATAATAATCCATTGATTGTGTCATAATTTACATTATATTTTAATGTTAGAAAATTACTTTTTTCTAATACTTAGTGATGCAAACAGATTCATTTCTAAATTAGTTTAGAAGTTTAATACAGTCTTAATTATTCAGCAAAGTATATTCTTAAAAACTACTTGTAGAAAGATTGTCACTTGTTAGATTGTATTTCAGCATAGTGAGCTTATAATTGACTTAACCGTGAGCCCAATATCACAGCTGTGACTGTGACCCTCTAAAATATCCCAGAAGACTTCACTGACACTTCCAGTTCAACAAAATGTTATAAATGCATTGTGCCCATTGCTTGTATAAGAGATCCGTGTAAGCATATAAGCAGTGCATAAAAATTAACTCTGTTGCATCCTGAAGTTATTGTATCTTAGCCTGTAATAAAACAGATTTAAAGACTTTGCTTATTTTCTTAGACCTTAGAAGGGCCTTAAACAATAATTTAGATAGCTTACGTCTACTTTAAAACAAGGCAGGAAAAAATGTCCATGTAAGCTTATATTGATACCTAATTTCTTAAATTATCCTATAGAAAAGAGTAACCATTTAAAATTATTTAGTTGTCTTTAGACCTGGGTTCAGAAACAACCTTACTTTTTTTTTTTAATGCCTGGTGATGTTTGCCTTTCCCGTTGGGAGAGAGTGGGGCTAGGGCACAGGTTGAACTATTTAGTGAATTTAAGACAAAAAATGAACGTGGCTATTCTGTAGAAGGCAACTTAGAATAAAGTTGCAAAACAAAGAATATTAGAGTTTGTCTCCCTTATGATTATCTTAGAACTGAAAGCAATTTCTTTGAAATTTAATTAATAAAATAGTTAATCGGTCTCAGGTTTAGCAGTCTTTTTTTTTTTATCCCCCAGGTATTAAGCAAGTATAGCTTCTATTGATTTAAAAGTCATACAGTTTTCTCATAGAAATTTTTTGTCTGACCTCAGACAGTGATTCAGAGAGTGATTCTTTCACTCTTTAGAATGTAAGGCTGTGAGATTTTCCTGTTGCCTTCCCTCATGTGCAGAGTACCAAGGAGCACACCTTGTACTGGTGTTATCTGCAAGACATAAAAGGAGACGGCACGTGAATACCTAAGTGTTATATCACTCTGTAACTCTGCTGGGGTATACTTTGTTGCCATGTTTAGTGGTAGCAGTGTTATAATCTAAGTTTATTATTTCTGGAAGATTCACATTGTACATTTAGTTTATCACAAAACTTGCCTGCAGGGCCCTTATCAGTAAAGATAATCTTATTTGCTGTATCGTCCCATTTACTGGTTCTACAGATTTGCTTTTGGCTCCTACTTGTAGTATTTATTCTGACTTCTCAGTCTGTCATGGTTTGTGTGATTCTTTTGCCCTGTTTCCCTCCCTTTTTTCCTTGGGTTCCCACCTCTTCCCTTCCTAGTCTTCCTGGGGGCTTCTCAGTGAGGTTTCTTCCCTTTGTTCTGTGTTCACCCAAAATTTTCTCTAAACCTGTATATGGAAGTGGAGGATAGAATTTAAAAGCCTTTAGTTTCACCGTCGTTATCAGTAATTTAGTTTTAACTTCAGTACTAGAAACTCTTTATTAACCTTTAAATGATTTTAAAAATATTCTACTGAATGAAGATATTTATATTAAACTTTCTTGAATCATTTAAATTTCAAATTGGTTCCAGTTTTCACTGTTAAAAATGTGGTGATGTATATATTAAATTGCAGTAACATGCTTTTTAAAAATGTGATGGTGAATATCATTGTGCATAGAACGTTGAGTTTTTCTCATTATTTTCTAAAGAGAATTGTCAGAAGTAGGACTAAGAATATAAATGTTTTTAAAGCATTTGTTATATATTGTCAAATTGCTCCCCAAAAGAATTCTCCCATCTGAATGCTGCCACGTATGAAAGTCCTATTTCTCCTTACCCGAGAGCCTTATGATCATTCTTTCTTTGTTTTTTTGATAAACAAAATATATCTCTGTTAAAATTTTATTCTTTTGGGCCACTAGTAAGATTGAAGGTTTTTACATATATAGGCTTACCTCATTTTATTGTGCTTTGTTTTATTGTACTTCACAGATTTTGCATTTTTTACAAATTAAAGACCCTCCACAAGTTTATCACTTGATTTATTGCAATGCTCCTTTATTGTGGTATCTGAAACCGAGCCCACAATATCTTAGAGGTATGCCTGTATTCGTGACCACCATTCTTTTGCAAATTGTTTAAAGTTATCTCTCATTTACCTGTTAGGATGTTAGGGTTGATAATTTTAAGGATAAGTAATAAATTGACAGCCATTTCAAAATGGACTACAAATGAAAAAGTAGGCATTAACTTCATTAAAAAGATAAAATGGAGACTAAGCTTCAGAAAGATAAGTGAGAGTATTTCAGAACTAAAATGCAAATATATTCATTTATTTGAGACATAGGGTAGTAGAAACTGAATTGGACTGAAACTCCGTAGTGTCAGAGTTACATCTTGTTCTATCACTAGCTGACTTCTAGTAGGACATACAGCTAAATATTTAACTTCTCTTACTTGTAAAGGAAACACACCCTTAACCCCTAATTACCTGGGGGTGGGGGCAGTAGGCGTAATGGTGATGGTAGCAGTAAGATTTTACCGCAGAGGTTGGAAAAGGGGAGCACAGGTTCCTTTTCTCAGAAATAAGACTGTGATCAGATGCGCTGGGGATTGGTACTTACACAGTCCATACAGGAAGGACCAGGGGTCGCCTTCCCTCTCTGCCTTCTACTTCATTCCTCCAAACACACACTGCAACACTGTTTATGTAGACATAAATTTCCTTCAAGACGATTATATTCTAGATACATTTTTATGATTGAAATGAGGATTTTTTAACTTGGGGAATTTTGTTTAAATTTTATATAAGCCTTATCTAGTCTCATTTAAAAAAAAAAAAAACCCACATCATTTAGCCCTGGCCAGTGGTGGCTCAGTTGGTTGGAGCATTGTCCCATAAACTGAAAGGCTCCAGGTTCAATCTCTGGTCTGGGCACATGCCAAGGTTGCAGGTTCGGTCCCTAGTCCGGAAGCATATGGGAGGCAACCAATGATGTTGCTCTCTCACATTGATGTGTCTGTCTGTCTCTCTCTCTCTCTCTCTCTATGCAATGAAAAAAAGTCCTCAGATGAGGTTAAAAAAATACATTATTTTCAGAAGACTATTTTGTATATCACAGAGATGAAAGATAAAGTAACTCATGGGATTTAAGCCTGTGATTTCACAAATTTTATTCTGAAGTTGCTTTTCTGCCATCGCTTTTCTGCCATCAAGTGCTCTCCTCTGGCTAAGAGCATGTTTAAATACTCAAAAAAACCTATATGCAAATGAGCTAATAGCCAGGTGGTTGGTTCTATATTAAGCTTTTCATGAAGGTGAATTGGGCACTTACATCCTTAGCTAGTTTGGAAAGTATGTTTGATGACAAATGCTTTTCTAAAGACAGTCCTTTTCATTTTTAGCTGAAAAATTTAAATGTTAACTATACCTACTAAGATATACCTATACCTACTAAGATATACCCTTAAAAAAATAGGCTAGAACTATTCTGTATTCTATGATTGTTTGCATGGGTTTTAAACCCTAGATTGATTAATCATCTAGTTCTTTTTGTGAATATGCTAGGTTTCTATTAAAATTGATCTTAACCAAACATTGATTATACTAGCAACCCCCACTTAAGAAAAAACTGATTCGAGTTAGTATACACTTTTTTCACTTAAGTTACAATAAGCCATTGAAGACCACATTTGTATGTAACCGAATACTCTTATCTCCAGTTGAAGGAGTGTATTCATATGCTAATTGATACCCTTACTTCTCTTACCAGGGGAATAATAATAATGATTTATGAAGAAGAAATGTATTGTCTTAAAACTGGTAGGACACACTGTCTTTACTCAGAATAGGATTTTCAAAATAATAGCTAGATTATATATAAATCATAATTCTTTTTAAAAATTATTTAATAGTTTATATAATTTGATAACTAAGTCAGATATTATCTATTAAAAAAAGAAGAGTTTCTGCACTTCCAATTGAGATGGAGGCTTAAGTAAATATGCCTCACCTCCATGCACAACAATAGCAAAAAAATAAAGCTGCACTACAGAACATTATCACCCAGAATTGCCAGAAAATTGAGCTGTGTGGAAATCTGACAGTCAAGGATTTAAAGAAGTCACAGCCATCTAGATGGGTAGGAGAGGCAGAGACATGGAGAAGTGCGGAGACACAGAGATAAGAAAGGGTGGTTCCGTATCCACATGTGGTGGATAAAAACAGGAGGGATACCTTGGGGAGTGGTGATCCCAGCCTCAGTCCAGACTGTCTAGCCCAGGGCCCTGTGCCAGGAAGATAAGTCTCCATAACTTCTGGCTATAAAAACCAGGAGGGTTAGGGTAGCAGAAGAAAATGCATCTTCTTAAAGGGCACACAAGGACTCACACAGACCCATCCCTTCTGGGATTCAGTGCCAGGGCAACAGCTGGAAGGGCACCAGTGGCATATGGGGAGAAAGTGAAGTGGAAATGGGGAGACAGCTTCTATCAAGGCTAGACTCCAGAGGCCAGGCAGCAGCATTGGCCCCCTTTGAGCCCTCCCCCACACAGCAACAGGGTGGTGACACGGGTTACCCTGCCTTGGCAAGGTTACCTAAGGCTCTGTGCTGTACAGCTTAATAGGTGCTCTAAGACAGGGAGTCAAGGCAGCTCTACTTAATACCCAAAAACAAAACCAGGGAGATTGCCAAAAAGAGGAGATAAATGAGACTCAAATGAAAGAACAGAGCAAAACTCCAGAAAAAGAACTAAATGAAATGGAGACAAGCAACCTCTCAGATGCAGTGTTACCCTTAAAAAAAAAAAAAAAAAACAGGGGGGGGGGGGGGGGGGAAAGGGGGGGGGGGGGGGGGAAAGGGGGGGGGGGGGGGGGAGAGGGGGGGGGGGGGTGGGGTGAGGAAAAAAAAAAAAAAAAATAAAAAAAAAATAAAAAAAAAAAGTAAAAAAAAAAAAAACGTCGGTCATCAGAATGCTCCAGGAACTCATTGGGTACTATAACACCGTAAAAAAAAGACTCAGGCAGAAATGAAGATTGCATTATGTGAAATAAAATCTATAGGGTACCAACAGTGGAGTGGATAAAGCCAAGGATCAAATTAATGATTTGGAACACAAGGGAAGAAAAAGCATTCAATCAGAACAGAAGGAAGAAAAAAGAATTTTTTTTTAAACCAGGATAGGCTTAGGAACCTGTGGGACATCTGTAAACATACCAACATCTGAATCATACGGGTGCCAGAAGGAGAAGAGGAAGAGCAAGAAATTGAAAACTTCCCTAATTTGGTGAAGAAAATAGACATATAAGTCCAGGAAGCACAGAGTCCCAAACAAGATGGATGCAAAGAGGCCCACTCCTAAGAAGACACATAATAATTAAAAGGCCAATAATTAAAGATAAAGAAAGAATCTTAAAAGCCACAAAAGAAAAACAGAGAGTTATGTACAAAGGAGTTCCCATTAAGACTTTCAGCTGATTTCTCAAAAGAAACCTTACAGTCAATAAGGGGCTGGAAAGAAGTATTTGAAGTCATGAAAGGCGAGGATGTACATCCAAGATTGCTCTATGCAGCAAAGCTTTCATGTAGAATTGAAGGGCAGATAAAGTGTTTTTCAGACAAGGTAAAATTAAAGGAATTTATCATTACCAAGCCATTATTATTTGAAATGCTAAAGGGAATTATATAAGAAAAATAAGATCCAAATTATGAACAATTAAATGACAATAAATTCACAACTATTAACAATTGAATCCAAATAACAAACTAAGCAAACAAGCATAGAACAGAATCATAGGTACGGAGATCATTTGGAGGGTTATCAGTTGGGATGGGGAAGGGGAAATATGGGGGGAAGGTGGAAGGATTAAGAAGCATGAATTGGTAGGTACAAAATAGATGGGGGTATTAAGAACAGTACAGGTAATGGAGAAGCCAAAGAACTTATATGCATGACCCATGGACATGAACTAAGCAGGGAGGGATTGCTGAAGGGAATGGGGCTACCAGGTAGAGGGGCAAAGGTGAGAAAATTGGGACAACTGTAATAGCATAATCAATAAAATATATTTTTTAAATATAAATAAAAAATTTAAAAATAAGAAAAGTTTCTAAACGTTTTAATGTGTGATGTGTGTGTATTTTTAAGCTCTTCCAATATTTAAGACTACAGTTGGACATTTTGGCTGGAAGGATCTTAATAATAATACAATACCAATGTGCTAGCTTTAGCCCAGAAGACCCTTCATACTCTACTGAAGTCATTCATGGTACAGCTCTAGACTTGGGTTAATTCTTCTGAATAGAAACACAGCTCATGAAAGAGGGATTGGTCTTAAGTTAAGGAGTATTTTTGACATCTGGTGAAGAAAATGTGAAGTGAGTTTATTTGTATAGAATTAAAGTAAATTGTAAATGGCAAAAAATGGAGTCAGTAATTCGTACTTTTTTCCTTTTAGGTTATGCGTTGGACCCTTCATTAGATAATCAAGTGACTACTAAGTATATTGGTTCTGTAGAAGAAGCTGAGAAAAATCAAGGTATTTATTTGAAATTATATATATCTGTAATTATTGTCTTGCAGATTGACTTTAGACAATAGGAATAAAACTAGTGTTTTATTTAGCTCTTGATTTTTTTTCAAGTTGAGACAGTAGTGTTGCAGTTTAGAACTATTAACAGTTTTAGAGCTTGCTTTTGCCATGTGCTAGGTGTGTGACCTTATAGGGAAGATAATGGTACCTGTTTGGGGGACTTGTTGTGAGTACTTGGCACATCATCAGCCTCATTAAAACCATTCAGTAAATTATAATCAATGTATACCTGACTTTAGCAGTTTATTTGTCAACACTAAATGTCAAGCTACATTTTAACAGAGCAGAACATATTTCATTGTGGAGATTGTCTTTGAAGATTGCTTCAGTTGTTCAGTTATTGAATGTTTTAAAATACATATTTGCGCTCATACTCATTTTGTGTTATTATAAGGCAGAGTTATTCTGAATGCTAATTTGAATAAAGCTCATCGGCCCATTGGAATCTTTTTTTATAAAATGCTTATTAAAAACAGAATGTGCTATTTGCACAAAGACACTTAGTAGCTACAGACCTGTATGATGAGGCTGTCCTCAGTGTATAAGCTAGATTATTGTTAAAGTGAATTTTAACAAGATCCTGTTATAACACACAGCCTAAAGATGATCAGTTTGAATTACTATAGATATGCTTTTTTTTTAAGTTGGACCTCTGCAAGCCACATATTTATGTAGCTAGATTCTCAGTTAACAGTTCATTGTGGTTATGACTCTCATGAACCTTTCTATTTCCAACTGAATGACTACGCACAGTGCGCCACCGTCTCCTGATCAAATCCCAGTCCAGAAACATCCTCTTTCCTCTTTTCCCTCTTACTGTTAAGGTTTATGTTGTTAAATGTCAAGTTTGGATTGAGATCACTTAAGAAAAATACCAGATTCCTGTGATACTTTATGCTGTTGTATTACAAGTAAACAAAATAAGTTATTAATTACTTAATTTAATTCAATTAAGTTTTTAGCTGATAAATTTTAGTTTATTCCTTCAAAAGTAGCTTTATTACTATTTAACAATATTAAATTACTGAATTTCAAAAAGTGGTAAAATTCACTGATATAGGTCTATGATTTATTAAAAGGATTGTGTACTATTAACAGGATTACATAGCTGGTCTTTTCTTTACGTATATTCGAATTTGCGTAACTACAGTGGTAGAAAATTCCTTTGCCTAGAACATTGAATCCTTTTTGTGTAACATGACTTGGTGTACCTGGCATGTTTATGTAGATTTTATTTTGTGTGTTTAAATAGATTCTTTGGTCACAACAGTATAAAGTAAAAGTATATATATGCTGCTATTTCTTTAGAAAATTATTCGTGATGTCCTTTTTTTTTAATGTAGGTTTAACTGTGTTTGAAACTGGTCAGAAGAAAATAGAAAAGAGGAAAAAGTTCAAAGAAAATGATGCATCTAATATTGATGGTTTCCTGGGACCATGGGCAAAATATGTGGATGAAAAAGATGTAGCCAAACCTTCCGAAGTAAGCTCTGATGTTTTTCACTGTCAGTTCAGGTGCATGCTGTGTATCTCTATGAAGGATGCCTGTGTCAATAAACGTGAGATTTCCTTAGAGAACTAAATGACTCGTCAAAATTTCTCTGTCTAGGTAAACCGAGAAAATACTGTAAGATTTTGTTTTTCTTTAGAATATTTTTACTTACATTTTTCTGATTTATTTAACAGTTTTTAATAAATATCACCTTGATAATGCTATTAAGCTGCCATGGTAGCTGCTTTTCTAGTATCAGATTGTCAGCCTTTCTATGATTTTAGAATTGATGTGACTTTTATTTATTTATTAATTTATTTTAAATGTTTTGATATAAATGTATCAGTATATTAACAAAGTCATATGTCAATATTGGTTTTTTTTTTTAATTCTACTATGAGCTAAAGCTGTAGGCAAACCCTTACCCTGTCCCTCCCCGCCTCCTAATTTCATGGTCTCCAAGCCACACACTGTTCTAGGTCTGAGGGATACAACAGTGGACAAGATCAAGAAAGTTCTAGCCTCGTGAAGTTTATAGTCTAGCTGTATATCTTACATTCGATAACATGCATATTATTATATTGAGATATTATATCTCAGTATATGTGTATGCTGCTATTTATTGTAGACATCATCTGTTGACTTCTTTGTTATTATACATAAAAGTTTTCTGCTTCCCCACCTTTGCTCTACTACTGCTTCCATACAAGTTGTGTCACGAACCTATTGGCATTGCTTATATTCTTACGACTATGTAAAAACTGTCTGCTGAAGAACAACATTGTGTACCAAAATCCAGGTTCCTGTCTGGTACTAGATTTTCTGATTGCTTTGTCCTTTCACTTGCATTAAATTAGCATGATATGTTAAAGTTATTTCTAGGTGTTGCAGAAAAATGGGTTTGGTATAAAATGAGTTTAAAATTACTAACTAGTACCCATTATGGGTTTAGTATCGTTTTGTAATCTGTTGAAGAATTGAGGTTGTTCTCCTGGGACACATACTTGAAGCTGTTCCTTCAGTAAAAAATGGACCTCATTATAAAGAATTTATAACCAACCTTGGCCATGATGGGGTTCTAGAACATCCATTTTAAAGTTGACTCCTTATTTTCCTTAGGAAGAACAAAAAGAATTGGATGAAATCACAGCAAAGAGGCAGAAAAAAGGCAAACTGGAAGAAGAGAAACCTGGGGAAGAAAAGACAATCTTACATGGTAATATATTTGTTATGCCTCTTCAGTTTGTATATTAAACTTTCACATACTTACTCTGTTCTCTGTTTGTATAATATTCATTGCCTTTATTAAGTATCTGCTACAATTAATTTTATTAAGAATTATATTGGACAGTTTGCATCTCAAAGAAATTACAACAAACTCTTATGTTCTAATAGATGAGAGGAAATAGAATGATTAATGATAGCTGCAGATAATTTTTTTAAAAGAAGAAATGTGAATTGACTCTGTTTGGTGTGTCAGTGGTACCCTTGTCATTTTAACTTTGTTTTTAACCTAAATCAAATGTTCTGCAGGTCTGCTCACTGTTACTGAATTATACTTTAAAAGAATAAACTTTGTTTTGATGTGAATAGATTGGAGATTAAGACTCTCACCCATTTTGATTTGTGGGAGGAAAGGTATATACACCAAAATAAATTTAAAATATTCTAGAATGTATCTGGTTTATAAATAATTAGCTATATTTTGAAAATTATGTAGAGATTATCTGAAACTGTAAAGAATAATTCAGCACTGAGAGTATAGATTATTCTAATGTCATATCATATATCAAACTTTTAGGTTTGGTGGAGCCATATTCGGTTCCTCGAGCTCCCGCTTTTGTCTCCAAGGAGTCCATTTAGTGCTGTGGCGCTGCAGCGGTGGCAGCGATGGTGGCCAGCGTTTATGTAGTGCCTGCTCTCTCGGACATGCTAAATGCTGTCTCTATGCAGGGGGACCCAAAAAATGGGATTGATTTATAAACACTGTGTATTTATTCTTATATGTTTCAATTTCAGTCACCTTCAAAGTACTGTCCATTTGATGCAGTGCACCTATCGAGACCTTTTTTCCACTGCTCAAAACAGTTTTTGAACATGTTGATCTTGATCCTGTGCTTCTGCCATTTTTTGTTTCACTTCTCCACATAGGCAAAGCATTTCTCTTGGAGGACTTTTGTCATCCAGGGAAACAAAATAAAGTCACTTGGGGCAAGATTGGGTGAATAGGGAGGGTAGTCCACTAGTCCGTTTTTGGTGAAAAACTGAACACTCAACGCAGTGTGGGAAGGTGTGCTAGTAAATCATGAAATGGGCAAAATGCATTGATGGAGAGTCTTGAAAACAAATTCATTGAAACCAAATGCAGCCTCTCACAACGACAGCTGGTGCACTGATACAGAAGGTTCCCAGAACACTCACCTAGCGGGGGAAGCCTGTACTACAAGGGGCCCGCCTTCAGAAGATGATTCTGGTTTTTGCGGGTGTTCCCCCTCGTGCACTATGTCATTTAATTCCCACAAGTGACTTTATACTATGTTGAAAGTAAAAAAGAGAATGGAAAGGGAACCTAGACAGACGTAAGAGAGGAAAGCAGGGGAAAAGAATACCTGCTCTTTTTTGTTTTGTTTAACTTCCTTCTTACCCTGTTTTGCTTCTGATTCTTTGCCAGTGACTCACAAGGCCCAAGTACTAATTTTTTTTTGTCTCGCTGTAATCATACTGCAGTGAAGTCTTTTACATATGTCACTAAAACCTGTAAATGAGTAAAAGAAATATAGATCTTATTTAGAGATCTAATATTTTCTGGGTCTTCAGGAGCTCCAAAATACTACTTCTAATTATAAATAAGATCAATGATTTCAGGCAGCTAAATTTTAGCTATTGTTAGCCCTAATACCAGAGTGTTATTACCTAAACCTTACTGCAGAATAATATACCAATGAATAAATGTTTGTCATTTTAAGGACATAGATTGCATGGCTATGGCTCATGTTTGTTCATGGCTCTGCTTTGCCTTCTTGTTTCAGTTAAAGAAATGTATGACTACCAAGGCAGGTCTTACCTGCACATACCTCAGGATGTTGGTGTTAATCTGCGGTCAACTGTGCCACCTGAGAAATGTTATCTTCCTAAAAAACAAATTCATGTGTGGTCTGGACACACAAAGGTAAGCAAATTGGTTGTTTTTTGTTTGCTGTAATGTGGAATAGTGAAGCCAACATAAGTTTCAGCTAACAATATGGAACATTCTCTATTTCCGGTGAAGCTGTAGGGAAGTCAAGATAGAGCAGGGAAGTCAAATTGAAGAGAAACCTAAGTTGCGCTTGGAGCTACCCATGTATATCAGTCACCAGCGATGAGTCAGTCTTCAAGGTTTATTTGGATGGGCCATGACTTAGGAATCTGTGATTTGGTCCCCTCCCCTTGTGGAAGCCCTGGCCTTTCCTTCCAAATTCCTGCCACAATTTGCTTCTTCTTGGGTGCCAAGTCAGTGAGTAATTAACAGGCGCTCATGCTAGCACCAGAGCCTTAGCACTTTCGCTTTAGCTCTTGAGGTCATCATCCTTCCAAGAATGTTAGATGTTCCCTGGTTTATAAACTATGATAATATTTAAACAAATGAAGAGACAAGATACTGTACTTGAAAACTTTTGATGTTGATAATCCTTGTCATCCCTACTGTTCCAAGTAACATTTTAAGCTCTTGGCAAAGGGCAGAGGGACTGAGCGAAAGAGAGAAGAGGAGTGGGCATTAGCAACTTGATTGACTCAGATTCCCCTGGGCGAGGAAGTCAATGTTAAAGTTAAAAAAAAAATCTTAAGAAGTTTAGTGTCAGTAAGGGCTGCTGTTATAGTATAATGAAGATTATTCTGGGGCATAAGTTTTGGAATGAAGAAAATAGTAAATTACATTGCTTAAAGATACACTGTCTTTTTCTTAGGTTTGATTTTAGCTGATCTTAGAGCACTTCTGATCGGTAACTAATTAATACCTTTTCACAGGGCGTCAGTGCTGTCAGGTTGTTCCCCCTCTCTGGCCATTTATTGCTGTCCTGTTCAATGGACTGTAAAATTAAGGTGAGTTTTCAGTACCAGAGCAGGCGCGTTGCAAAGCTACTGTTTTGGTTAAATCTGCTTAATTATAAATAAATTTATAATTTATATATTTATTATATAATTTATATAATTTGGTTTGTTGGGTAATTCAAGGCTAATAATTTTCTCCTAGGCCCTGTGAATGCTGTACTTCTTTCTAATTTATGTACTGCTTCTAAACATGTTGATTCAGATATGGTGTATGATTTCAGTTGGTGAGGCTCTTTCGTTAGCTTAGATAACTAACTAATTAGAATGTAACCAGTCACTTTGGCTTCAGACACATAAATGTTTAATCATTAACAGAGCATTTTCATAGAGGTTTTTGTAGATGGAACTGAGTTCATTTGTTCCTCAGAACCTTATTAGGGAAAGGGGGCACATGATAGAAATCCCATTTCTAGAGAGTGGATAATGTAATTCATCCTTTTTTTCTTATAAATGCTAGCAGACACCAAGTAACAGGAAAGCTCCCAGACTCTTCTCCCACTCTTCATAGTCTTGGGAAGCTGCTTCATCTTTAGCCCAGTGTTTAGAGGTGGAGTACGTGGTAGGAAGAACTCAGTTGCCAGCGTATGTCAACTTGAATGGGAAAGCCTTTTTAAAAATCTTAAATTTAAAAGAATAGTTCTTACTTCTTTTGTGTCTTGTGTGTCTGGTTCATTATGATGGTCAATAAATATCAACCCTATAGTGCTCTTGAAGCTTGGAAAGTAGAATAGTTAAAATTTTATTCTTTGTAAATAATTTATGGATATCAACAGTATCCATAAAGGCAGATGTTTTATGGGGTTTTTTTTCTGAATGAGAGCAACCATTTAGGTATTTGTCTGTACTTAGTAGCTTAAAATAACAAGTAGTTTGGAGTAAGAAAACCCTTATTTCCTCTAACTTTTACTTTATATACGCTGTCTTAATTGAGATACGGTTTTCTCTTTAACCAATTAAAAAAGCATAGAGTACAATTTATTTCACTTCTGTAAACATGTGCAAAGGCCAAAAAATTATTCAGGCACTGTCTCTGCCCTTAGGATGAACATTTCATTATGATTTTAATGATCATTATAGAGTCAGAAACAAAGTGTTCTGGTTTCGAAGAAGAAGCATATCTCAATGGGAGGGAAACTGCTGCGGGAGGGGTGGGGTGTAGACTGTGCCTGAGAACAGTGAATAGAATGATTCAGCATGGTGTGTGCTGAACACTACAGTTGGACGGTAGCTGGAGGCTAACACGTGAGAGACAGAATGACCACAGTCCTGAGCAGAGGACCACGTTGCAGGTCCTTGCCTGCTCTGCTGGGGGTGCTGAGACTGGACATTGGCACTGGGTAGCCGGAAGTGCTTTTGGTTGTAGAGGGCTAGCAGTTCTATTGAGAACTGGGTTTGAGGCAGGAAAGAATAAAGGTACTTTCGAAGCTCTTGAGTTAATTCACTTTAGATGTGCTGAGAATTATGAACCTGGTTACATTTTAGTCTGGGTCATCATTTTTGTACTAAAGCTTCTATAGTACTCGTTACTTTAGAAAAGTTCAAAACAAAACCTTTTAATACCAAAATGTCGTAAACATAACAGATTTAATAGTATTTAACTCTTTAAAAGTATAATTCATGGTATTTAATAGAAACTTTTTTCTTCATATTAAATACAGAAAAGAACAGGAAGAAAACAAATCACCTATATTAGCTCCATCTAAATTCTGATGATATTTTGATGTATCTTTTAGAATCTGATATCAAAGTTTAGTGTTAAAGTGTGTGTGTGTGTGTGTGTCCGTCCATGAGTCCAGGTAGTGCAACGCAGATTAGATGCCAAGCAGTATATTTAATGATGTCTATTGACTGCTTTTGGTTAAATCCCCTGTACACACAAAGATGTGCACGCACATGGGCAGCATATTGGCTGCTGTAACTAATTGAAAGTTGTCATTTCATCAAAGTCTAGTATTAAATTTAATATTTATGTTGGTTTTTTTTTCTCCAGCTATGGGAGGTTTATGGAGACAGGCGTTGTCTGCGAACATTTATTGGTAATGCTTCTTTTTTCCTTTACTGTAACTGTTTAGAAAGGCTTTTAAAACTTTTTATCTTCATAAACCATAATTTTTCTGCACTAATATGCATGAAAATCTTCATAGACATGAGTCTTGAAGAAGGGGTAAGTCTCCCCACATAAACAAAGAGAACTAGGAGGAGCAAGCAGCAGAAGCAAAAGTGGTATGAGAAACTGTGCCACTTCGGGGGAACCACTTGTCCTTCAGACTGCCAGGGCATGGGAATGATAGGGTGAGAAAAGCAGCAAAAGAGGGGGCAGAGTATGGAGGACTATGTGTGTCGTTAGTAACGAGTTTAGACTCTATGCTGAGGGCTTTGGGAAGGCAGACATTGAATGGCTCTTGCAGGAAGGAGGCATGATCAGGTTTGAAGTTTACAAGGATCACAGTGGCAGTATGGAGGATGCCTTAATGGAGCAGGCCTGGAGGTGGGGAAGTGAATTACAGGGTTATTTCATCAGCCTGGATTAGAGATGGTGAGAGCCTGAAGTAAAGCAGCAGAAATGGAGAGGAAAGAATTAATCAAGAGCTAAAATCAATGGGCTTAGATGTGAGTGATAAGAGGCAGGAATCTACGGTGATGCCCAGATGACACCAGGATGGATGCTGGTGTCAGTCACCTAGAGAGTGAACCGAGGAGGCTGCCGAGGTTTTAGACTCGTTGAATTTGAGCTGCCCTTGGGTGTTTTTTTAATATATTTTATTGATTATGCTATTACAGTTGTCCCATTTCCCCCCCTTTAGTTCATGTTCATGTGTCATAAGTTCTTTAACTTCTACATTTCCCATACTATTCTTACCCTCCCCCTGTCTATTTTCTGCCTACCATCTGTGCTACTTATTCTCTGTACCTTTTCCCCCTTCTCCCCCTCCCACTCCCCTGTTGATAACCCTCCGTGTGCTCTCCATTTCTGTGGTTCTGTTCCTGTTCTAGTTGTTTGCTTGGAGTTTTTAGATGAAAATGTCTAAATGTCTAATTAAGCAATTAGCTGGCCAGATGTTAAGTTTGAAGAGAGATTGGGAATTGGCATCTAACACAGAAAAAGATGAGATTGAAAGAACTTGAGGCAAAGAAGAGGGCCAAGCAGAGGACAGCTTTGTGGCAGACTAGCCTTTTCGGTAGAGAATAGTTCACAGCCTTTGTCAAATTTTGTGTAAAGCTTCCCAATTTAACTGTATTGCACTGAAACAGTGTTTGTGTGAACCTTAGTGGCTCCGTTTTTAGATTGAAGTGGGAGTGTGTTCTTTAGTGCTGTGTAATTTTAGGGCCTCACTGCGCAAAGAATACTGCCCGAGATGCCGTAGCAGCCTAAAGAAAGATTCATGGGAAGGCTCTCAGCAGCATACAGGGAACGAAATACCTCCTGCAGATGTAGTGGATGGGGTCCCCATTTGTCTCCCGTGCGCTGGCAGACAGTCTTTCAGTGGAAAAGGGAAAATCTCCTGCTCAGGAAGATGGTGGCAGCTCTCACTGGACTTCTGCCATAGAAAAAATGACCTGATTGCTTAGTTGTTGTGACACTTCGTGTCTCCCCACGGCCCACTGGCGGTGGTGGTTCGGGGCTGCTGTGCCTGGTTGACAGTTTGTGCCACGCACATTTCGCACAGTTGTACTTAGCAGTCTTGGTCATGCGGGGGTGGTAAAAAAAAAAAATACAAAGTTTCTGCTTTCATTTAGCCATGTTTAATTGTCCCCGTAACTGTCAAAAGAGTTGATTGGTCTGGCAAGATTGATTTCCAAGCAGAGCATCTTTTTTTTTTTTTTTTTAATTTGTCTTTAGAGGGGAAGGAGAGAGGGAGAGAAACATCAATGTATGGTTGCCTTTTGTGCGTCCCCTGCTGGGAACTGGCCTGCAGGGAACCAGCCTGCAACCCAGGCATGTGCCCTGACTGGGAATCAAACCTCAATCCTCTGGTTCACAGGCCTGTGCTCAATCCACTGAGCTACACCAGCCAGGGCTCAAGCAGAGCATCTTAAAATGACTTTATTGTCAAAATGTTATCCTAAAACAAAATAGAAATTAATATTGGTTTCAAAAAGACTTAGTCTTAGACTCTGAGTCCATTTCTATGAAATTTGGTAATGTGATCACACAAATATGCAGTTCTTGAGTAAGGGCTGTGATTATTTTTTTTTTTTACAAACTTGAGGAGGTTTAGGTCACTCACTCTGTTTTTACTTCCAACTTCATGAGTAATCTGAGAGTGAACCTCCAAAATGTCACCAGTCATTTGTCTTTCACTGGCAGCAATTGGCCTATTATGTTTCCTTAGATTCTTAGCTGTTTAGTCATCAGTTGTATGTATATTACATACTAAGAGATTGCCATGACAGACTTTTTAAAAATGTTAGGTCTTTTCTCTCCCTTCCTACCTAGAGGTTATACATCAGAATCAGCTCAGGAGCTTTTTGAAGGGGGTGGGGGTGGGAACCACCTGTATCCCCATTCCCACATAGAACCAGCCGAGTCAGTAAATCAGGGGGTGGGGTTCCAATGATTTTTGACTCACAGCGTGGCTTGGAAAACACTGTTTAATACTGGTTTTTTATGGTGTTCATGTTGTAAAAGAAGATACCTTAACCTGCCTTTCGGTGGTCTCTGCCTGTAGGTCACAGTAAAGCCGTCAGGGACATCTGCTTTAATACTGCAGGAACGCAGTTCCTCAGCGCAGCTTACGACAGGTATCTTAAGCTCTGGGACACAGAGACAGGTAAGAGCTCACTTATACTAAGAGATGTTTGTCTTACAAATTAACATTTTTAAGTGAAATATGTGTGTGGTCTTCTTTGGCAAAATAGTGCCTTCTCTAGCTGCTGATTCTCTTGTCATTGACTTACTGCATTTGTGTGTAGAGTTGAAACAGCTGTGTAGGCTATGAAACTTTGTTTCCACCAAATATGGTTTATAAAGGAAATGTATTGATAGACAAGGACATTTGAAATCTTCCATTCACTATTTCATTGATTGTTTTGTTCCCCTGCATCACCTAGCACATGTTCTTGCATGTAATAGAAAGACAGTAGATGTCTGATGGACAGAACAAAACTTAATTGCCCAAATCGATTAAAATGTAGTTCTAAGCTTCCATGGTCCAGTTAGTTTCATATATTTGTGGACATATGAATTGCATATTGTGGCTGGTATAAATTTATATAACTAAAGAGTCATCTTTCATCTTGCTGTGTTTCAAAGCTAAAGATAATAGCTCACATTTACTAAACACTTTGTGTTTACCAGGCATTATGCTAAATGCTTATATCTAGTTTCTCATTCAATCCTTAAAATATCTCTATGTGATAAAGTACTATTATTTTTATAGAGGAGAAAACTGAGGTTTAAAGAGGTAGCTTTTTCGGGGTCACACAGTTGGTAAGGAGCCAAATCGGGTTCAGAGTAAGGCCTGTCTAATGCCAAAGCCCTTACTCTTAACCTGCTTAGCGGTGGTCCTCAACTCCGCTGCACAGCATAGTCACCTGGAGACCCTTATCTGTTCTGCAAGTCATGATACAGATCTACTTTTGAAAAAATTATTTTAATCATTAAAAATCTGAAAAAGAATAATATGGTTTACAATAAAGAGCAAGCAGGCTGCCTTTCCTTAGAATGTATTAAGCAAATAATCTCTGGATCTTAGTCCCAGAGTTATCTTTAAGTGATCAGATCTATTTTGCCTATTTTAACGTTGGTCTTTGGTTTTAGGACAGTGTATATCAAGGTTCACAAACCGAAAAGTACCCTATTGTGTCAAATTTAATCCTGATGAAGATAAGCAAAATCTCTTTGTGGCCGGAATGTCTGATAAAAAGATTGTGCAGGTGAGTCTTTTCACAGCATTTTTATTAAGATTCCTGAGCTTTATGTTGTATGAGGGGACAGAATAAGGAATATTAACTTGTTTAATGTTTTCTACTTTTAGGGTTTGCTGATGCTCTTCTTAGTAGAAAATAGTATAACCATAAAAATAGAGTGTTGGAAATCTTTTTTTTGTCCACTTTCCATAATTACAATCTTTGCTTTCATTAATCTGTGCCACCTCTGTCTTCACCTCTTCTTGTTGGATGCACAGTGGGACATTCGCAGTGGAGAAATTGTGCAGGAATATGATCGGCACTTGGGAGCTGTCAACACCATTGTTTTTGTTGATGAAAACAGGAGATTTGTAAGCACGTCTGATGATAAGAGCCTAAGAGTTTGGGAATGGTGAGTTTCTACCAGTAGAAAATCTGATTATATGAAGCAAGCAATTTAAAAATCTGTGGCCAAAGACAAACCCTGATAATATGCAGCTATTTGAGTATTTTTAAAACTGTGATGTGTGGCTTGCCAGTCAAACTGTTTTAACTACTTAAGTATCCAGAATATGAAGATAAAAATTTAAACATGCGCCCTGACTAGTGGTGACTCGGTTGGTTTGGCGTTGTTCCACAAAGCCAGAGGTCACCAGTTCGATTCCCACTCAGGATGGGTGTCTAGGTTGCAGGTTTGATCCCCAGTTGGGGCACACAGGAGACGCAGCCGATCCATGTTTCTCTCCCTGTGTCTCCCTCCCTTCCTGTCTCTCCACAAATGAATAAATAAAACCTTTTTTAAAAATTTAAACATGCTACTTGCCATAGTCTTTGGAGAATCTATCTAAAGGATATGTATTTTGAGTCATGTTTCTGGCACTGGTGAAAAGTTTTTATAGTGCAGTCTTAGATTCTTTCTTAGCTCTCTTAGTCATCTTTGCAAAAAAGACTGATGGGAAGTAGAGGCCACAAATGTATAGACCATATGGGTTATGCTAGAGTTTGAGCATAATATTCTAGCCTCAGAACCAACCCAAAGAAAACATTGAAATAATCTCTTAATTTTTAAAATGTCTATATTTTGACTATTCAGTATTGGAAATTGCCTCATGAAGTCTCCTTTGTGTCCTGCCATTTATAGTCCATTAGGTAGAAAACAAACGTTTTACTTACAGAATATAATTAGAATGTGGTGGTTCATTTTGCTTTCCTAGAGGGGGAAAAACACTTCCTAAAGTCAAGAAATACTAAAACTAATTTTAATCTCTGCTTCTAATCTCCCATTGTAACCTCTGCTTCTGTGACTTCGATTTTCTTTGTAAGAGTGCACACAAAAGTGACAGCATGCAGTGTTCGTCTCCTGCATCCAGCTTAGCGTAATGCCCTCTAGATCGTCCATGTTGTCACAGATGACAGAATTTTTTCTTTTCTGAGGTTAGATGATGTGCTACTTTGTATGTAAGTACCACTTTTCTGTACCCATTGACAGATGCCGCGGGTCGTTTCCATACCTTGGCGTTGGTAACACTGCATCGAACATGGGCGTGCAGATGTCTCTCTGACACAGCGGTTTCTTCTGCTTTCCATACATACCCGGAAATAGGATTGATGGTTCATATACTGGTTCTGTTTTTAATTTCCTGAGGAACCTCCATACTCTCCCACAGTGGTTACACCAGTTTACATTCCCACCGGTGCTGTACAAGGGTTCCTTTTTCTCCCATCCTCACCATTTATCTCTAGTCTTTGAGATATTAGCCGACAGTGTAAGGTGATAGCTCATTGTGGTTTTGCTTTGCATGTTTCTAGTGACTTGTTATGTTAAGCACTTTTTCATGTACGGTTGGGTATTTATTTATATGTCTTCTCTGGGAAAATGTCTATATTCGGGTCTTTTGCCCATTTTTTAATTTACCTTTTTTGCTGTTGGTTCTGTGAGTTCCTTGTATATTTTGCATATTGACTCCCTATCGGACACTGGCTAGCAAATATTTTGTCCCGTTTCCTAGGCTGGCTCTTCATTTTATTGGTGGTTTTCTTTGCTGTACAGAAGCTTTTTCCTTCGAAGAAGCACCACTTGTTTATTTTTGCTTTTGTTGCCTGCTGAAGATATCAAATCCAAAAAGTCATTGCCAAGACCAAGATCAAGCAGCTTATCCCCTATGTTGTCTTCCAGGAGTTTTACAGTTTCAGGTCTTATGTTCCAATCTTTAATCCATTTTGAGTTGATGTGAGATAGGTTCAGTTTCATTCTTTGCATGTAGATACTAACTTTTCCCAACACCGTTTATTAAAGAGGTTGTCCTTTCCTGATCGCATATTCTTGGCTCCTTTGTTGCAAATTGACTGTGCACACCTGGGTTTATTTCTGGGCTCTCTGTTCTGTTCCATTTGATCACTGTGTCTGTTTTTATGCCAGTGCCAAATTGTTTTGGTTACTATAGCTTTGTATTATAGTTTGAATTCAGGACATGTGATTACTCCAGCTTTGTTTTTTCTCAGGATTGCTTTAGAGTCTTACTGTAGTTTCATACAAATTTAAGGATTGGCCTGTTTCTATAAAAAGTGTTATTAGGATTTTGATATATATTGTCTTGAATCTGTAAATAACTTTTGGTATTATGGACAGTTTAATAACATTCTTTCAATTTGTGAATGTGGGGTGTCTTTCTATTTATTTATGTCTTCAATTTTTTTCATCAGTGTTTTATAGTTTTCAGTGTATAGGTTTTTTGCTGCCTTGGTTAAATTTAGTCCTAGGTATTTTACTGTTTTTTATGCTGTTGTAAATTGGATTGTTTTACCAATTTTTCTTTCCAGTAGTTTAATGTTTGCATATTGATTTTGTATTCTGCAACTTTACTGAATTTACATGTTAGTTCTAACAGTTTTATTGGTGGAGTATTTAGGGTTTTCTATATATAATATGTCATCAGCAAACAGAGATGATTTTACCTTTTCTTTTTTGATTTAGGTGCCTTTAATTTCTTTTTCTTGCCTCACTGCTCTGACTTGGACTTTCAGTACTATGTTAAATAAAAGTGGGAAGAGTGGACAACCTTGTCTTTTTCCTGATCATAGAGGAAAAGCTCTCAGCTTTTTTGCTGTTGAGTATATTAACTGTGGGCTTGTCACATATGGGTATGTTCCCTCTATACCCAGTTTTTTGAGACTTTTTATCATGAAAGGGTGTTGTAGTTTGTAATTTATTTTTCCTTCATCTATTGAGATAATGATATGGTTTTTATGCTTCATTTTGTTATTGTGGTGTATCACATATGTTGATTTACATATATTCAAACCTACCATTGCATCCCAGGGAAAAATTCCACTTGGTCATGGTGTATAATACTTATATTATGCTATTGAATTCGGTTTGCTAACATTTTGTTGACTTTTTGCAGCTATGTTCTCCAGGGATATTGAGCTATAATTTTGGCTTCTTAAAATGAGTTTGGAAGTGCTCCCTCCTCTTCTGTTTTTGGGAAGAGTTTGAGAAGGATTGATACTAATTCTTCTTTAAATGTTTGGTATAGTTCACTGGTGAAGCCATCTGTTCCTATACTTTTTTGTTGTTGAAAGGTTTTAGATTATTTCCTCTCTTCTTAGTTGTTACTGATTTGTTCGGAGTTTCTATTTCTTCATGATTCAGTCTTGGTGGGTTGTATGTTGCTAGGAATTCATCTTTTTCTTCTAGGTTATCTAATTTGTTGGCATATAATTTTTCATAGTATTCTTGTGATCCTTACTGTTTCTGTATTATCAGTTGTTAGTGTCTCCTTTCATTTTTAATTTTATTTATTTACATCTTTTGTCTTTTTCTTAGTCTAGCTAAATTTTTGTCAATTTTACTTTTTAAGTTGTTTCATTGATTTTTTAATTGAATTTATTGGGGTGACATTGGCTAAAAAAATCATACAGGTTTCAGGTGCACAGTTCTACAACACATCATCTCTACACTACAGTGTGTGTTCACCACCCTGTATTGGTTATTTCTGTTATCTTTTTAGTCTCTCTTTCATTTATTTGCTCTCTGGTCTGTTACATTCCTTCCTTCTGCTAACTTGGGGCTTAGTTTGTTCTTTTTTTCTTTGAAATCTTTTTTTTCCTAATGTAGGCATTTGTCACTATAAACTTTCCTCTTTGAATTGTTTCTGCTACGTCCTGCAGTTTTGTTTCTATTTCAGTTGTCTCAAGATTTTTTATTTCCCTTTTGATGTCTTTGACCCCTTTTTGGTTAAGCAGCATGTTGTTTAATCTCCACATATTTGTGAATTTTACAGTTTTTTTGTAATTTCTAGTTTCATATCATTATTGTCAGAAAAGATACTTGATATGATTTCAGACCCTTAAAGTTATTAAGCCTCGTTTTGTGACCTAATATATGATTTGTCCTGGAGACTGTTCCTTGTGCACTTGAAACTAAAGTGCCTTCTGCTGCTGGTGGGTGGAATGTTTTGTTTAAATCAGTGAGGTCCATCGGATCCAGCATGTTGTTTAAGTTCAGTGTTTTCTGTTGATTTTGTCAGGATGATCTATCCCTTGTTGAATATGGGGTATTGGAGTCCCTTACTATTACTGTATTGCAAGTTATTTCTCCCTTCAAATCTATTAATATTTGCTTTACATAGTCGCACTGGTTTTGGATACATAAACATTTACAACTGTTACATCCTTTTGATGAATTGACACCTTTATCATTATCTCTTACTCCTTTGTCTCTTATTACAGTTTTTGGCTTAAAGTCTTTTTTTTCTGATGTAAATATAGCCATCTCTGTTTTCTTTTGGTTTCCGTTTGCATGGAATATCTTTATCCCGTCACTTTCAGTCTATTCGTGTCCTTACACCTGAAGTGACTCTCTTGTAGGTAGCATTTAGGTGATTCTTGTTTTGTTTGGGGGTTGGTTTTTTTGGGGGGTGGGGTTGCCCATTACGCTACTCTGTATCTTTTGAAAAATTTAGTCCATTTACATTTAAATTAGATATAAATTTATTTTTGAGTATTTTTATTGATTATGCTATTCCATTTGTTCCATTTTTTTCTTCCCTTTGTACCCCTCCTCCCTGGACCACCCCCCCACCAACCAGCATTTATTTCCTTAGTTCATGTTCATGGGTTGTACATGTAAGTTCTTTGGCTTTTCCATTTCCTATACTATTCTTAACCTCCCCCCATCTACTTAGTAGTGTAAATTTAAATTATGGACTTACCATTGCCATTTTGTTGATTGTTTTATGGTTGTTTTCTACCATATGGTTGTTTTCTTTGTTTCTTCTCGTCCTTTATCACTTGATGATTTTCTGCAGTGGTATGCTTTGATTCCTTTCTCTTTCTCTTTTACGTATCTATTACGGGTTTTTGCTCTATGGATACCATGAAGCTTACATAAAACATCCAGAACCAGAGTTCATAATCATATGGATGATAGTTAAATGAACAGGGTCTGCTGGAGAGAGGACAACTCGTGTCTAGATTGCATAGTCAGAAAATGATAAATGTGAGGATCAGCCTTGCTCTAAAGACCAGTAGGAAGCAAAACCACCTCCGGATTCCCAGAACTGTCTTCACCACACACAGCCACACCCAAAGTCAGTTACTGGTGACACTGGAAGCATGCTTGGCGGGGAAAGGGAGCCCTGACCACCTTAAAATGAGAACCAACTCCGACAGTAGGAAAATTATCACTGGGGCTTGCAGATAAGTGGTATTTGTTAAACTTTTATACCCTGTACCTGTTTAGAGTAGCACAAAGATACAGGAAAAACACATCAAAGGAAACTTAGTTTTCTTAAGCAATACCATATAGTATTAAGGGAGATTAAGAGATTATAATTAGATATGAGTAGCCTGTGGTATTCTAATTGGTGAAATCCATAACATACCATAAATATGTTTTCTTATAATAGTTTGTGTTGTTAAAATATTTTTAAAAGAAAAATTTACAGAGGTCAATACTGTTGTTTATCTTTTAGCTTTAAGTTTTCATAGATTATTGTAAGGGTTTTTTATATGATTTTGTTTCCAGACTGAAGATTATTTGTAAGGTATATGTTACTAGTTTATTATACTGAATTACAGTTTCTAATTAGAAAATAGTGTGGTGTTCATTAAATATAACTATGCCTAGCAGTCATTTTACTAGTAATAATTAAGGCCACAGGGTGTTCAGATTGGTTTCTTGTTTTAGAGCTCTTTGTACCGAAAGTCATTGAAATAACTGTTTACATTTAGTAACACATTTCATGGACATGAACCTGGATTATGGGTAATTTAATTTAGAAAATGCACTTGTGTTTTAATTCAAGTTATAAAATTGTTAGCCACTAATAATAAATATGAAGAGGGAAAAACAGTCAAACCTTTTCAAATTGAGGTTCTTTTCAGTACATTTGGGTCATTCTGATGTCAGTTTCCACTGGTACCTTAGATGTGTAAAGGGTTGGAGGTTTGATAGATGATACTTGTTCCCCAGGTTGTACCTGAAAATATTTTCCTTTAACCAGAACCTTGATAGGATTTTTTAAATCATTTGCTTCTTCTGGACAGCTAGAGAAAATCCTTACTTAAAGGCAAATTGTTGTTGTTGTTATTATTATTATTTTCCATTTAAGTAAAGTCTTAGAACTTGAACCATAGTTTGAAATTGCTTTGTATTCTGAGACAACATGAGATTACCTTTTCCACAGGTTACTCTTTAAAAGCATTTTTGGTCTGTCATGAAAAGCAACAAGACTAAAATCCTTCAGTAATTCAGATTTAATATTCTCTTTCTATCATAGAGAATATTAAATATGGAAAGGCATTTTGAACTTCTAATGATTCTAAATTTAGGTGACCAGGTTTTGGATTTTTTTTGCTTTGTCTTGTCTTTTATATCATTCACATGAGATTTTTTTTTTAATGCTATTTCTCCAGTGCCATATGTTTGTAATATTTTACATATAAACTGAAAATAGAAGGTATCTGGATACCAAGCGCTTAATCTTTCTTACCCATCCTGAAACCTCGTCATTTTTGGAGGGGCTCTGCCTGCGTGCAGACCCCTGTACAGCTGCAACCTCCACTTACATTGCCAAAGGCTCTTTAGCATTGCCACCTCCTTGCAGAATGAAGTTAATGTTGACTGGCAAGTAAAACAAGAATGTTTCCCTGCAGGCTTGCCTCGGCATCTTGCTTCTGCCTACCAGGATACATTTTTAGATGAGCTCATTATTAAACAAGCTTCAGTAACAGATTTTTTTAACATAAAGACCAAAGTTTAAATCAAATAGAGTTTAAAAACTAAATCATCGACACTTTTATAATTATCACAGAAAGTCATTTGTGAAGTAAAAGATTTACAATAAGCGACAGAATGTCATTTTGTGATTTTTCTTCCCCCAGGAAGTTCTGTGAAAGGTTATTAAGTATAACATTTCAAGAATATCTGTCCTGGTTTAGGGATAATTCTTCTAAGGGTACTTTTTAAAAATTACTTGTTCTATTGTACTATTTAGGGACATCCCTGTGGATTTCAAGTATATAGCAGAACCCAGTATGCACTCGATGCCTGCAGTGACTTTGTCTCCAAATGGTAAGTTAGTAGAAAAGAATGTGTTTTTAAATGAGCTTCTAAGACTTGGTGTGATTTCCGTATGGCAGAACCTTGGCCATTCTCTCTGCGGTCTGTCACAGTGCTGTACTGTAGAAGGAAATCTTTTCATTATTAGAAATAATCATTGGTTTTCCTATGTGAGTCACCTCACCCAGTCTCTCTTTTAAAGTAATAAAAATAAAAGAAACTATTTGAAACTAACATTAACTGAGCATCTAAGTTTTTCCATCTAAGAATGAGGAGTTTTTAAAAAATAATTCTCTTTCCACCAGAATTGTGTTCCACAACTCATTTAGTGATTAATTGTGAATTCTTTTTCTTTCAAGGGATAGAAAAAAATTTTTTTTAGGGGATAGAAAATTTCGATCTGGTTCCCTATAACAAGAACATCTTGGCAATTCAGTATAAAATATTTTCTTAGGCAAAATAAAAAAGATAAATCTATTTAATACTGTTTCCGTACTGCAGATGTCCTGCCAGTGGACTGATATAATTATAGCTCTGCACGAGGGTCTGAAGGGGGAATGTGGGTATTTGGGCAACATTGTTATCAAAGCCACTGTTAACTCACAGAATCACTGTGAGTGTAGATGAGGACAAGAAGGTAAGAAGCAGTTTGCTCTTGTATTGGGGCACCTGCCACAGGCCAGTCAGTAATCATTTTTGTCAAACGCCCTATCATCTTAATGAGAGGAGCAACCTAACCAGGTCCTCTGTTAATAACCACCGTGCTGTAGACTTTGTCACATTTGACGCTGCATGTACATTTTATGTAGTGTACTTTTAAAGTACACATTACGAGTAGCTTGTCCATCTTGAACGAGGCCGTTTACTCTCAGACTGAGAGCATTGTTAGGCTCGTTCCCATAGTTACTGACGTCTGCAGGTGTATAGGATGCAAAAGGACACTGCCATTTGGGCTCTAGGGGCTTTGGGAAATCCTGGCTGAATAAAAGCAGTGTGGCCTTACAACAATAGGTACTAAAATTTTTGTAGTCATTTTTTAATAATTTTATTTAATAATCCTAGTTTTTCTCACCTCAAGTTGATCTTTCCTTTTTTATAATTAACATAGAGAAGTCTCGCCCTATAATTCTATTGTCTATATTTAATACAGGTTAATTTCATATAAATTTTAGTTTAGTTCTGATAATACTAAACCCAGAATATCTGTATATCCTTTATATATACAGAACCAAAAAAAAGTTTATAAAGAGTGCTTATGACATAGGATTGTATGAGCCAATTCTATTACTTTAAATTTAGACACCTCTTGCCAGCAGCAAATCTGTACACCTTACAGGTGGTGTGGTAAATTTATTTTCCTATTAGTATAAAGTAGTTGGGAACAAATATTAATGACTGACTATATTTAGAATACAAATTCTTTTTAAATTTTCTGTTTTTCTCTGAAATATTTCTTTTATTGAATTTACAGGGAAATGGCTAGCATGCCAGTCAATGGACAACCAAATCTTAATTTTTGGAGCACAAAACAGATTCAGATTAAATAAGAAAAAAATATTTAAGGGCCATATGGTAGCAGGCTATGCTTGTCAGGTGGACTTTTCACCAGACATGAGGTAAGTCTCACGTGTTCTGACATTCAGATAGAATGATATAAACTTCTATTGTACAAGTAATACTAACACTTTACACATCACATTCACATATGTAATTGTATGAGAAATATGTAGATTGTCAAAATGCCAGGTAAAGGGGCAAGTTCTTTCCTGTGTCTCCTCATAGTGATCAGTCTTGTGCCCTTTAACCACATAGGCAGTGCTTTCTTTTCTCTCTGCTTTTCTGAGCAAGATTTGGAGGATTGTAGTCGCCATATTGCTGTGATTGAATGAACACCAGGAGGATTAATTCTCTGTTGCATTGTTGAAGTTAACAACTTCACTGCATCTTTTCTGTGCTGAAATCTCCAATCCAGCTACTTCAGGATGGGAATAATTCTAGGTCAGACTAGATTTGTGAAGCCTATAGTCTTTCTAAGTGAAACTCTGCATTCATTTTCCCATTCTTAGCTAAAATATATAGGTATAAGTCACTCACAGATCCCTGTAGCTTTATATGTTTAGCCTGATAATTGGGCCTTAGACTCCTACCTCTGAGTCAGTCTTAGATGTATTCAGAAGGTATTGGAGCCAAAAAGTAACCGGGAGGTGGTGGAGTTCGCTGTAGTAGAACGGGTCCAAATGTGTTTGCTGTTCTGTGTGACATTGGGTTCCCTACAGTTTCTGTCTAGAGGGGGATTGTGACATCGTATTCATTGTGGCCCCTGGGCCTCTCAGTCTTAAGTTAAAAGTTATTTTTTACTCTTAGATTGGTGCTCAGTGGGGATGGTTTTAGAAGTTTAAATTATAGACTGCTTTATACTCTACCTTGTTCTTCTCACTGAGTGAATATATTACAATATATAAGGTAGCATAGTCACTTTGATATTTTATGTTACGGTAGAAAAGATAAACTCTTTCTCTGTTCTTCATTTACTTTACCAGTTTTAAGTGTTTGAATAATTTGAATTTATTTTTCTTCCCATTGTAGCTATGTGATTTCAGGAGATGGAAATGGAAAATTAAACATCTGGGACTGGAAGACCACAAAACTCTACAGTCGGTTTAAAGCTCATGACAAAGTGTGCATAGGTGCAGTGTGGCACCCTCATGAAACATCGAAAGTCATAACATGCGGTTGGGATGGTCTCATTAAATTATGGGATTAATGAGACTAATCCTTCAACTCTCTGGATTATTTTTGATCCAATACCATATTTAACTATTTCATTGTTAAATGTGTGGGATGAAAACTTTATTTACAGATGTCATTTCCTTACATGGCCTTATAAAGTTGATATACATTGTTTTTTAAAAAAAACTTTGTAAATTTGGCTCATATGATTTCGTTGGCAACTTTAATTTGTTCTTTATAGATACTATTTATACAGAGAATGACCATCGATTTTGTATTTGACAAGGCAGTCTGGGCTTACCCCCAAGACACACGGAAAGGATCCCTTTGGAGTTGGAAAAGGATCCCTTGTGGATTTGGGGTTCTGACGGAGCTTGATGTGACTCTGAGAGCAGGGTACAACCACCCGCGGTGACTGTCTCCATTATTTCCGGTGCGCCGAGTTCGGTGTTTTGGACTCAGGGGTTCCTCTGACTCTTGCAGATGTTGTGTGTTTCTCGTCGTGAGCCAGCAGTCTTCTCTGACTACAGCGCTCCTCTCATTATTAAACAAGGTAAAACACAAGTCAACCCGGAGTTCTTTCCTTGACTTTCTTCCCAGTCTGTCTTTAGCGAGAGAATTATGTAATTTTTGAAGATGAAACTCAAGAGAATGAGTCAAAACTTTGAATTTTTTTTGTATTTACTGTCAGTAAGAACCTGGCTGTACTTTCAGAAATCAGGGTCTCTTTGGTCATTTCTTCACAGATGTTACTACTGAAATACTCAATGGAGATAGGGCAAAGAACAAAATATCAACCTGCAACTTCTTTAAAATTATTCTGATTTGGCTTGTGAATATATTTGACGAAACTTTTAAGATTAGAAAAGTTTTAAACTTCTTTCTAAATATTTGAGTGAAATTGACAATCCAGGAAAATGGCTAGGGTTCCCCAGTTTGAGAAGCAGCAGCTGTAAAAAAGTTTAAAAACTTAAGATTGTGAAATGAAGATAGCCTCTTGAATGTAGTAGTTAATAGCACTTTAGTTCGACACACCGTTTCTCCAGCTTTATCGCAGGTCTGTATCAGATGTGTGAATGTGGTTCCAGATATTTCCACAGTGCCGTGCTAAAAACGGTCGGCTCGCAGCAGCTCAGAGCACCGAGTGGGGGCAGGGCCACACTGGTGTTGGTGTCCTGGAGGCATCGGCTCCGAGCCCTGTGCTGTCACCAGCAGCGGTGCTTGCTGCTTTCCTTCAGAACACCCGTTCTAAACAGTTAAAATAAAAAAGGCCTGGTATAGATGACCAGGCTATAGCCACACATTAAAAACATTGAAGACAAAAATAGACCAAGAATACAAGTGGTAGAGCTGTATTTTTGGACACAGAAGCACTGAGAGAAATAAGAATACACTGCCTAGCTGCTCCCGTCTCTGTATCTGCCAGGAAGGGTGGCTGCCGTTTCCTGAAGAGGAAAGAATTCAGACAAGACCTTTTCTTTAGTCCCAACCACTGGGTTTAACCAATGTGAATTAATCACATTTCATTAATAATAAAATCATATATTTAAACTATCTTGCTCACCACCATTATTGTGTATGTTACAGATCATAATTTCTAAATCTTGGTTTATTTTATTGTGTTTTTACTGTTTGTAAACAATTGTATATAAAAGTTGTCTTTTTTAAAAAATCATATTTTTTAAATAAAGCATTTTTATTAAAAAATTTATCAGAATTTTTATTCTTGGTCTCCTTTTAAGTCTTAACTCTATTGACACCAAATTATACCATTTACAGATTTTAAATGGGTCATTTTGATTTCATGGAGGAAAATCATGCTTTAGAGGTATGTATGGTATGTTAATGGGTTCATTCTGATTAACAAAAACACAGGGCAGTGCCCTCAGAACATGCAAGTTTAACATGTACCACATTTATTCACTCAGTGGTGACACTGAGTCCGTCACAATTACACTCACTTCAGAGCACGCACATGAGTGGGGCTCTGCACCAGCGTCACCACGTCTCAGTCACCGGGATTAGGTGGTCGTCCCTGACTCCTCCTCACTGTGTCCTTTTTGCTGCACCCAGAACAGATTTCCTTCCTACAAGTCATTACAAAAGTGATGCTTTAGCGAAAGTTTCAATGGGATGGCTATTTAAATATTGAAGCACAAGCTGGTAATATTTTGTCTTAAATAACAAGAAGGTTTTAAGATAAGCAAATAGCCACTTCTGGAAATAAAGAGTTTAGTTGGGGGGGGCACGGTTTATGTGAGATCCTAATTAAAATTGATTTAATTTCATTGGGCGTATAATGGGTGTTAGGGTTTTTAAAAATCCTTAGTGTATATTTTCCATTACCATTTAGTCCCCTTATACCTCCCTCCCCCCCAGCAATCACCACTCTGTTGCCCATGTTCATGAGTCCTTTTTCCTTTTTGCTCCATCCCTCTATCCCTTCACCTCCCCACTCCATTAGCTGTCATCTGCTCTCCATTTATGAGTCTGTCCCCTTTTTCCTTGGTAGTTCAGTTCATTAGATTCCACATATAAGTGAAATCATAGAGTATTTGTCATTCTCTGACTGTCTTATTTCACTTAGCATAATTTTCTCCAGGTCCAACCATACTGCCACAAAGAGTAAGATTTACTTTTTGTGGCTGAATAGTATTCCATTGTGTAAATGTCCCATAGTTGTTTTATCCGCTCAACTACTGTTGGGCACTCAAACTTCTTCCATATGGTGTTTTTAAGTAAGGCTGCAATGAACATAGTGGTACTTAGGTTCTTTTGAATTAGTGTTTTGGGTTCCTTTGGATATATTCCCAGAAGTAGGATTGCTGGGTCAAAAGGCAGATCCATTTTTAATTGAGGGATCTCCATACTGCTTTCTACAGCTGCTACACCAATCTGCATTCCCACCAACAGTAAAACAGAGGTTCCCTTTTCTCCCAGCACGTTTTATTGGTTGGTTTATTAATGATAGCCATTCTGACAGGTGTGAGATGGTATCTCTTTATGGTCATGTCTCTGATGATTAGTGACATTGAGCATCTTTTTGTATGTCTGTTGGCCATCTGTGTGTCCTCTTTGGAGAAGTGTCTGTTCAGGTCCTTCGTCCATTTTAATTGTGTTGTTTAGTTCTTTATAAATTTTGGATATTAAGCCCTTAGATGTATCAGCAAATATATGTTCTATTCTGTGGGTTGTCTTTATTTTGTTGACAGTTTCCCTTGCTGTGTGAAAACTTTTTAGTTTGATGTGGACCCATTTGTTTATTTTTTCTTCTGTCTCCCTTGCCTGGGGAGATGTATCAGATAAAACATTGCTATGAGCAGTATTCAAGATTTTGCTGCCTATATTTTTTTCTTGGTTTTTATGGGTTGGGCTCTAAATTTAAGTCTTTGATCCATTTCGAATTTATTATTGTGTGTGATATAAGAAGGTGGTGTAGTTTCATTTTTCCATACCTATCTGTCGTTTTCCCAAAACCATTTATTGAATAAACTACCATTAGCCCATTGTATGTGCTTGATTCCTCTGTCAAATATTAATTGACTAAAAAGGTGTGGGTTTATTTCTGGGCTCTCTATTCTGCTCCACTGATCTATGTGTCTATTTTTATGTCAGCATCATGCTGTTTTGATTACTATGGTGTTGTAGTATAGTTTCATATTAGGTAGCATGATTCTTCCAATGTTGTTCTTTTTTCTCAGGATCACTGTTGGTATGCAGGGCCTTTTGTGATTCCATATAAAATTTTGAAATACTGTATTTTGCTGTGCATAATACGTACTTTTCGCCCGAATTATTGAGGGAAAAATAAGGGTGCACATTATTCATGGGCAGTGCCTGAAATACCTTGTATCCCTGTGTTTTGTCATTTAAAATGTCTTGTACCATAATATGTTCAAAAATAAATGCTAAAATTCCTTTATAATATAAAAGGCAAGTATCTAAATATAAATAAATAAATAATTGAATTAGAAAATCAAAAGATTTTTTTTCCTGAAAGTTTGGGCCAAAAATGTAGGTGTGCATTATACACAGCAAAATGTGATTTGTTCTAGTTCTGTGAAATACATCATTGGAATCTTGATAGGATTTTTCTATTTCTTTCTTCAGTGTCTTATAATTTTCCAAGTACTGCATTGTTTAGGCTTATTGCTTTAGCAATTGTGAATGTGATTGCTTTCTTAATTTCCCTTTCTGTTAGTTTGTTATCGGCATGTAAAAATGCAACTGATTTCTGGATATTAATTTTGTATCCTGCTATATTGCTGAATTCATTGATCAGCTCTAGTAGTTTCTTAAGGATGCATTGTGAGGCTGGTTGATGTCCTTAGCATGTTTGTAAATTACCTGAGAGAAAACTTTGACAATGAAATAGCAAACCTTTGGATGGCAGCCTCAAGGATTGCAACACCAGCAATACTTACAGAGTCTGTCTTTGAAGAAAAGTATTTCTCAGAGTGGTATGGACTGAGAACCGTCTGCATCAGAATCACCTGGAGGTTCTATCTTCTACTGAAAAAATTCGGAAGAAAGTAAAGGTAAGTTGGGGGAGCCATAATGAACTCAGGTCTGGGGAAGGGAAGTGTGGAGGGCCATCCAGGTCAAGATGTCCATCTTATTATAAAATCTGGGTCTTAAAAGTGAGAGCTATGGGACACTGGTGCTATATTTCATCAAGGGTACATATTTTTCACATCTCTGAAATGGAGTTGCATCTTAAAATCAATGCTGTGCCATAGTTTAATTGCTTTTCTTAGTAGATCATAAAATAATTGATTACATACAGAATAAACAAGAGAAATGATAAGGGAGGGTCCTGAGAAGGAGAAGATCCAATCAATGGAAAGAAGGTTCTATCACAGCACTTGGCACCAATTTTTATTTAATGGGTTAATAAACAAAATGAACTAACAAAATATTCCAATTTAAAATAGAAATTCACTGGGTTGAAGTTGGCAGTCCTAGCAAGGTCGCCAGGTGATGCACACTGAGTTGAGCACCCATGAAGTAGAGTCTGAGCTTATCTTCAGTATTTCAAAAACTACACTGTTTAGTACACAACCCAGAGAAATTGAGCTCCCCCAAAATATGTACATATGTGTGTGCATATATGTATATGCATGTACATATATGAATGTATATATTTTTATATACTTATATGTGCACCTTCCATTTCCTAGTCACTTTAATAATTGCAGACACAACCTTCTCATCCTAACAATGGAATATCATCTGGAACTTAAGGGAAAAGAAGTCACAACTTGCAATCAGAATCTTTATAGTAGCTTTATTTTTAGTGACAGAAAAAGAGATAACTCTTTGCTTGTGCAGCTTCCTATAATACAACACCTATCTTCAAATGAATTATTTAGCTCCCACTCCTCAACCTTCAGCACCTGAGATCTGAAGAACTCAAATCTCAAACGTTTCATTTAAGTGTTTGTTCTAGAATAGTGGTAATAGAAATACATGAGCTGTGTATGTAATTTTAATTTTCTAAAGGCCATATTTTAAAGAAATCCCGAGGATATTCTTTTTAATAATATATTTTATATAGCATGCAAAATATTTCAACATTCTATTTTTTAAATTTCTAAAAATATGTTTTATTGATTATACCATTACAGTTGTTCCATCTCCCCCCTTTATTTCCCTCTGCCCTGCACATTCCCCCGTTTAGTTCATGTCCATGAGTCATATATATAAGTTCTTTGACTTTTACATTTCCTATACTATTCTTACCCTCCCCCATCTATCTTCTACCTACCATTTATGCAACTTATTCTCTGTACCTTTTCCCCCCTCTCCTCCTCCTACTCCCCTGTTGATAATCCTCCATGTGATCTCCATTTCTGTGATTCCGTCCCTCTTCTAGTTATTTGCTTTGTTTTTGTTTTAGGTTTGGTTGTTAATAACTGTGAGTTTGTTCTCATTTAACTATTCATATTTTTTACCTTTTTTTTTCTTAGATGAGTCCCTTTAACATTTCATATAATAAAGGCTTGGTGATGATGAACTCTTTTAACTTGACCTTATCTGGGAAGCACTGTATCTGCCTTTCCATTCTAAATGATAGCTTTGCTGGAGAGAGTAATCTTGATGCAAGTCCTTGCCTTTCATGACTTCTTGAACCAAGAAGGGACTTTCCAGCCCCTTCTTGCCTGCAAGGTTTCTTTTGAGAAATCAGCTGGACAGTCTGATGGGAACTCTTTTGTAGGTAATTCTCTCCTTTTCTCTTGCTGCTTTGAAGATTCTCTCTTTATCTTTAATCTTGGGTAAGGTAATTATGATGTGCCTTGGTGAGTGCTTTCTTCGGTTCAACTTCTTTTGAACTCTGAGCTTCCTGGACTTCCTGGAAGTCTAATTCCTTTGCCAGATTGGGGAAGTTTTCTTTCATTATTTTTTAAAATAAATTTCAATTTCTTGCTCTTCCTCTTCTTCTTCTGGCACCCCTATGATTTCGGATGTAGGAATATTTAAAGTTGTCCTGGAGGTTCCTAAGCCTCTTCTCATTTTTTTGAATTCTTGTTTCTTCATTCTCTTCTGGTTGAATGTTTATTTCTTCCTTCTGCTCCAAACCATTGATCTGAATCCTGGTTTCCTTCCCATCACTGTTGTTTCCCTGTACATTTTCCTTTATTTC